AACGGTTCACCGGGTCGACACGATCCATCGTGCCCAAAAACAGATCGGTCCCTAGCTAGCTAGCAATGCTTTGCTATTCCGCCGATAGCCTTTTGATTGTCAAAGTTGAATAAGTATAATCCTTTCGAAGGCCAAGACTATTCTTCTGCCATGACGATTCCATTTGTGCAAATTGGTTTTCATTATTTATTCTCTTGTGAGTGTTTGGTGACCATTCTCATCTTACCGCACCGCGTTCCGGCTTTTTCGATCCGCCAGCCATCTGCGATTCTTTTCTCCCCAACAACCACCTTTGTATTGTTGTGTGTTTCCAGTACCAGTACTAATTATTAATACAACTCTCGTTTGGGCCCAGGCAAATGCTTGGGTCGATTGGCGGTGAGTTTGAGTCTCTTTTGCGTCCGATCGACATCGGCAACCCAGACGCGTACACGATCTCCCCGTTTCATGAATTGAGACGGATGAGCGGTTCCATCCCACGAGGGATGATCCATAAAGTGGCACCATCCATCGACGACGGCTCCCACTTCAACGTAGGCACCAAAATCCGTGACGCGTTTGAGTTCTCCCCACAATTCATCATCGAGTTGGATTTCGGTCAACGGGATGCGATCTTGTGGATTGTCGCGTTTTTCCTGTTCCAAGACTTCCTCGGGTAACATGGTCAAGTGCATCTTTTTGCGTTCGGGACTGGTGGATCGGACACGGACCGTAATTTCTTGTCCCGGTGTCAAGATTTGTCGGGGATGCTCGACAAAGACATCGGTGGAGAGTTGACTGACATGGAGCAATCCATCGCAGTCGGTCCCAATATCGACGTAGGCTCCAAAATTGGTTAAACTAATTACCACACCCGTCTGTTCGCTACCAATGGGGATATCCGCCAATGGACGTCGATCCTGCGGTTGGACGGGACGAGTAATGCGTGCTGCCTTTTTCTTGTTGCGTTGTTGTTCCTTGACAAACATCATGAGTTTGCGTTTCTTATCCATGACGGGTTCGCGCTTTTTCTTGTTGGCAATGGCCCGTTGTTGGCCCTTTTCCATCAGATACTGACGGTACTTGGGGTCCAGTTGTTCCCAACGAGCACGACGGCGTTTGCGCGCGTCTCCTGAATCTTCTTCTTCTTCAGTATCGTTATCTTCCTCGTCTTCATCATCAAACACAATTCGAATATCATGGGGGATTTTGGTCCCTGCTACCTGCCGAGACACCAAAGATACCCCTTTGGATGGTTGTCGTGGTACAAAGGCACTTGCCAGGGCTACCAGGAGGGCCAGCAGCAAGAAAACAAGGCGTGAAGAACCAGAGAGGACCACCATGGTGTTGGGCTGACTGATTGTTATTTGTGGACTATTGGTTCTGCTTTGGAATCAATGAACCAAGATTTTGCAAAAGGATTTGATTGTGTCTGATGTTTCTATGGTTGTTGTGGCACAGCTGTTCAGCTTCTGGCAAGCTCTGAATGGATGCTTGACGTCACTCAGATAGAAGCTCGTGACCCAAAGAGTCACGTACCGGTACGCTACCTGTCCGTGATTCCTTGCATTCGAGGGGGGGTCTACTACTGTACTATTTTAAATAGTACGACTTTCGTACCGGAAGCCAGCCGGGGCCAGGCCCAAGCAAAGAAGAGTCGAAATTCTAGGACTCTACATTCTGTGGGATCAGGGGCAAGAAATTGAGGACTGGTACAGGGGCAAAAAGGCTTGGCTTTGCGGGATCAACGGAGACATACATGCGTGGTTTCGCTGTGGCAATAGAGGTACAGTCGTATGGGTCCGCATGAAGAACATCATTTGAGAGTATGAGGACTGACTTTTGTTGGCAGAGACAGAAGCAAGGCATTGTAAAAGAATCTTGGCTTGGGGGGCAAGCATGCCATCCGTTGAAACAACAAAGGGAAGGAAGGAGGTGCAATTGGATTCGCACGGGGCTTTATATGGAAATTTGCTCGCGTCCTGTTTGGTTAAAACTTTTAAAGCAGATCTTTGTCCCCGTCCCCGTACATGTACTCACAATATCCAAATCAGAACGTGGTCTTGTTCTGACAACTTGAACGAAGAGAGTTGACGATGGAAGGGGAGGGGGAGGAAGACGTTGGCCTACAAGAAGTGAAGAGCTTGTGGTTGAAATTCATCAACCGAAACGATGAAGAAGCCACCAAGCCAAAGACTACTTGTAGCCATTGTGGCAAACAGCACCTCACTGATGGTCAATTTTTCGCTCATTGCAAACATTGCCTTGCAAGTGGCGTCATTCCAGCTGCCTACTGTTCTCAGCAATGTCAAGAAAAAAATTGGCCCAAACGCAAAAAAGAGACAAGAAAACTCCGGAGAGCACTTAAAAGTCTGAAAACACAACGGTATCAACAGCTAATGGTGATCGCTATGAGGACATGATTCTCGATGGTGTTCGTCTATACAAGTCATGCAAGTTAGAAGCGGCCAAGCATATGTTTCGTCAGGCTCAGAAGCTTGACCCAAGAATGCCTGATGCATACTATTATCTAGCACGGAGTTTTGGGTACTGTCGTGTCTCCGAATCATTGACATATTCTGAGAAGGCAACTGAATTGTTCGCAGAGGCATTGTTGCGTGATTATGCGATCCAACAACATACCTCCCCAACTATTGGTCATGATAATGGACACTCGTCAAAGAAACTACAAGCATTGGCCTTGAGTATTTCGCTGACCATAGATCAGAGTTTTAAAGATCTATCTGAACCCCGGTTTGCACAAGTCAACAGAGACAAACCAACTTGGATCACAAACGATCAAACACTTGACCGGATATCCAGAATAGCATTGCGAGTGTTTGGACGTCACTCCGAAGATGCTCTCATGAGAGAGAGGCATTGGGACATGGCTTGGACCAGAGCAATGTTCCTGATGGGAGGATACCTCAGTAATGGCCAAAGCAAGAGATTCACTCCACGTGAACCACCTGAAAATCGCTCGTTGGAAAATATACGGGAAGCATGTGGCTTGCTTGAATGGGCCATAAAGTCAGCTGAATGGATGCGAAAGTCGGATCTTGAAAAATTGGGGATTACCAAAACATATGTGACTGCCCAACGTTATGCCACTTGTATGCGGGATCTTGAGGCCTGGGGGGGCTTGCGCTCACCACCACAACAATACCCTCAAGCCTTTTCCTGGGTACAAATCTCTGGCCTCCGAGGCATCCCTGGTGACGTTCTAAACAATAAACTTGGAATTGTGCATGAGGCCAAGTCACTCAATGATGGCAGAGTTACAGTGAAGGTTGATGGGATTGATGGTCATAAGCACATGTTTCCACAGTATCTTGTAGTTCTTCCTCTGCGCTCTTTGATCTCAACAATGGTGTTATGTCTTGATGAAGGCGTCCAATGGATGTTTATGCGGGCATATTACAAACATTGGTTGCTCACAGGGCAGCCAGCCAGAGGTGACCGTGACAGACAACTGCCAGTGGGCATTATAGAATAGAAAGAACTGGAGTAACTTTTTGCAGGAACAAGGTTGTACCTTCAAAGTTCGCAAACTGCCTTGCAATTGGTAAACTCTTCTCTCAATGACCTGTTCATGACGTGTGAGGAAGCAGAGAGCCTTGAATGGCAAAGACTTGGAAGCAAGCAATGGCTCCGCTATTGTCCTGTGGATGTTTAAGCAGCTTGGAATTGAAGTGGCCTGTGAAGCTGAAGACTTTGTGCACCTCGTGCCAGCCAAAACATGTTGGCTTGCCTGGTGATTGAAGTGAGCAATAACGTAAGAAACCAGCCAGTTGATCGCTTCAATGCAAATGCAGTCCTCCTTGAAAACATGACATGAAAACTGCCGCAACTGCATGTCTTACCTTGCTCTATCTAGCTACCGATCAAAGACACAAGGAGAGGGAGCAATTTTCGTGGGAGGAGACGGCGGGATTTTTTTTCTGCTCTTTCATTCGATTAGATTGTAGATTGAATCAGAATCGAATCATCATTTCGATTGAATGATGATTGAATCTCAATCGAATCATTCGAATGATCAATCGAATCTGCCTCATTTTTTGGTAGCCAACAACCACAACATCCTCGACCATCCATTATCCCTGCTGTCGCCGTTGTCTCTGTTGACCTTCTTGGACTCTCCAAAGAGAGAGAAACCGATGTGTTCAGCAGCAGCTCAGGATGTCACATTACTGCCAGCAGAAGAGAGCTCTAAGGGCCAGTATCAATAGTCTTGCCATCTTGCATCACACTTTACTCATAGAGTCGAGACTTGCGTCGTCGCCGTCAAATCTGTTGGCAAGACGGTGGCTGTCCATTGCCAGTACAGATGCCACAAATAGTAGTACTACCAGTACATCCATTGTGAAGAAGAGAAAAAGAAGAAGACCCAAGTCGCTATCATCCCTTCCCAGTACTCCCTCTACAACGCGAGATCGAATTCGATGGCTCCAAGATTACAATCAAGTGCTGAATGATGGATACTACAGCCAGCGGAGATTGACTCGACAACTCGATGATTTCGGCCAAGTGGCAAACGAACGAATTGACTTTGTCCGAAGCAAACTCTTGTCGTTTTGGGGAGACGCTAGTCCTACTGCTGCCAGCACTACCAGTAGTAGCAGCAGCTCGACTACTTCCACTCGTCGTCCCCCCAAGAGCGAGTTGAAAATGGACGGCAAATGGTGGTTTTGGAATCTGGCATTTGCGTCGATACCCGCCATTCTCATTGCGGCCTATTGCGAATTGATTGCCAAACCGGAAATGATGGAATACAACCGACAAATGCACGTGGCCGCCAAACGAGAACAAGATCGGTATTACAATCCCGAACAGGATGAGGAGTTGAAACAAATCATGAGAGAAGCCGAACAACAGTTGGGTACCAGACTCTACAATGCCGTCTTGGAGCTCTCCAGTTATTTGGTGGAACAAATCAAAGTGTTGATACAACAACAACAACAAGAGACAGTGCCATTGTCGGTTCCGGGGGGTGATGCAGCGCAAACACATGCTGCTGCACTCGAAACAAGCAGTGCTGTTACCAAAAGGGACATGTCTGCTACTACTGATAAGGATGCCGAAGCTTCGATTGCAGAATTGAAACAGAGATTGCAAGAATTGGAACAACGTCTCACCAAACAGCAACCACAACAAAAAGAGGACACATCCAAAACCAATAAGTCACAACAATCCCCACTAGTATCACCAAAAAGTCGAATTCAAGCCAGAGTCATGCAAAAGAGGAGGGAAGAATTGTCCAGCAACAACATCGATGATAATAGCAACTCGGCTCTTACTGATGATCAGACGGCAAAGGACGCTGACGATGGAACAGACAAGCAGCCAAGTGTATGGTGGGGACGGAGCCTGATGAGCACAATTTCAAACCCATTCGCGACAAGAGAGAGCGTATCGCCGCCATCTTCTCCCCAGACATCATCGCAGGAGGAGCGCCCATCGTCAACATTAGTAGTGGATCCGAAAGCCAAGGAAACTTGTAAAATTCAGACGGATCGAGCCACTTTGACGTTGCCAAACAATGGAGTTGATACAAACAAAGAAGCAACCTCTTCAACAGCATCAACGACATCTGCGGTACCGTATACCACCAATGACCATGATACAAAAGCACCAGAGACTGTTTCTGAAGACTCGCGCAGCTGGTGGTCAAGACTGTGGCCCACTTCTAAATAAAAACATGTTTAAAAGTGCTGCTCAAAAGGTGGAGGTAGTTGACTACTTAAACAGGAACAGCGATTACAAACTATACAATTCACAATACTTTCAATAGCGGCCTCCTTTGTTGTGCCTGCCTGGACATCTTGTGTGAAGATAGTTCCTTCGGAAGTGGTCAGCCGACCATAGCGGCATCAAATTGTCCAGGCCAGGCTTTTCTATTCTTGGAACATCAGGTTGTTGCCTCATAATGACATCCTTTCTATGGTTCCAATGTCCTCACTCGTTTCCAATGCGGTACTGAGAACATGCATGCACCATACATTGACATGATAATTCTTGCCTTGACCAGTATCACCACCGGCAAGCAAAGGCTGAGGTCGATCCCTTGGCTGAAAGAAGCTATCCGAGAAATCTCCTTCATCCGACTTGCCTCGTTTTCGTGATTCATTCGATGCTTTTTAGTAGAGAACGCCACTTGCAAGCAGAAAACCACATGCAAGCAGCGATATTGCAGATAGCACAATGGACGTTCCCTGTGCGCCCGACGTCGACGCATTTTCATTGATAATTGCAACAGCGACGCCTCCAATGTTTGTGTTGTCTTCTCCGATCTGACTTGTTTCGCCATCGCTGCCACCGGGGCAACTCAATTCATCCATCACCTCGTCATCGACACATTGTTCGTCAAAGCATGCTTGACTGCCCTTGAACATATCAGTTACTGTTGCGCGTTCGTCCATTGACCAACAGAGCGTTTGCCGAAAGTTGCTGGCATTCAGAAAAAGCTCCGACATGTCCAGCACCTTGCCGACGTTCCAACCAGACAGATCTCTGTTGAATAAAGTGGCGCCGCGAAACATCCCGGAAATGTCCTTGGCTCCTGATACGTCCCACTCTGTGACATCACCATCAAAGCGAGTAGCCCCTTCAAACTGGGAGGAAAAGTCCTTCACTTCTATTGTGTTCCAAGAGGAAAGCAAACCAAAGAAGAAAGCAGCACCGCGGAACTGACCGGCCATGGATTTCACTTTGGAGGTATCCCAGCCCTCTAGGTCGTTGTTGAAGAACGAGCATCCGTCGAACTGGTAGCTCATATCGGCAACTTTCTTTGTGTCCCATCTCGAAATGTCCGAGGTCCAACTGGATGCCCCACGAAACATGGCAGACATGTCCTGCACGTTTTGCGTGTCAAAATCAGACACATCGCCTCGGAAATTCTCACAACCGTCGAAAAAGCTGCTCATGTCATTGGCACTGCCAGTGTCCCATTCAGAAATGGAGGATCCATCAAACTCGCGGTTGTTGGCAAACATACGTGAGAAGGACGTCACCAGTCCGGTGTCCCAGCCGGACAAGTTACCGGCAAAGCTGGTTCCCTCAAAGAGAGATGTCATGTCTACAACCTTTCCACGTTCCAATGTAAATCTGGATTGCCCTTGTTGGTGAACCTCCTGGCTCCGTGAAACATACCGCTGACATCCTCCACGTTGGACATATCAAACGAGGTCAAATCTTGGTTAAAGGTTGAAGCATTTTGAAACATTCCTGAAGATACCAGAACGGAAGGGGACAGTTAGCGACGACATCGACATGTCTGTTCATGCCAAGCCGAGCAGGCACGCGAACTTACCAGGCGCCCTGATTAGGTTAGTTGTCTTGAAGCTGCTGATGTCTCCGTTGAACCTGTAGGCGTCACGGAACATGTAACTCATGTCCTGCACTTTAGAAGTGTCGAAATTCAGCTCAGGTTGTGCGAATTCAAAGGCACTTTGAAACATCATGCTCATGCTAAGAGCCGACGAAGTGTTGAAAGGAACTGGTTGATTGAACGACTGGGCACCACGAAAGAATGCATCAAAAAAGTAGGCAGAGTCGGTACTCCAGTTTCCAAATGTATCCTGGTTGAAACTAAGGGCACCCTGAAGGAAACCTTCCATGGCAGTTGTGGAAGCAGTGTTCCAACCGGCGAGAGATCCATCAAACTCTTCGTTGTAGACAAAAGTGTATCCAATATCCTTTAGTGACACAGTGTTCCAGTTGGCCAAACTTTGTGAATTGAATGAGTAGCAGTAGCTGAACATCCCACGAATGGTTGTGACGGAAGACATATCCCAACTAGAGAGATCTGGATCAATCAAGGAGTAGCAACGTGAAAACATATCGCGCATGTCTGTGACCCTGGCCGTGTTGAAGGTTTCCAAGCCTGCTCCTTCAAAACTGCTGGCATTGAAGAACATGTTTCTCATTGTTGTGACAGAGGCAGTGTTCAACCCGGACAAGTCCCCGTTGAAGGTTGCCATGTGGGAAAACTACAATGTTTTGGACGGTTAGATTCAAGTGAACGGTAAGGCAAGACGACTCTGAAACTTTTGAATATACTTACCATGTCACTCATGTCGACCACGCTGGCAGTGTTCCAGTTTGTCAAGGGTTGCTCGAATGAGGACGCTCCCGAGAAGAAGTTCCTCATAGATGTCAACGATGAGACGTCCCATCCACTGATAGGGGAATTGAAAGAGGAAGCATCTCTAAAAATCTCCTGCATGCTCGTGACAGAGGAAACATCCCAAGAACCAATAGCTCCATTGAACGAATGAGCCTCCCGAAACATGGCTTCCATTTCGTTTACCGATGAAACATCCCAAGCACCAATGTCATTGTTAAACGATCGGGCGCCGCGAAACATTTGGTACATGGAGGTGACTTTTGCTACATCCCAGCCTCCAATGGATCCATCGAATGCTTCCGCGTCTCGAAACATGGCGTCCATCGTTGTCACTCGAGATGTCGACCATGCATCCAAACCATATCCACCTGTGAATGAACTGCATCCCTCAAACATGGAGACCGCCGTTTCTACACTGGATGTATTCCACAGGGAGAAATCTAGGTCCATCCGTTCATTGTTGAGGAACATGGAGTCCATATCCTTGACGTGTTCGACATTCCACTGCTCTATACCTGGATTATTGAATCTTGTCGCGTTTTGAAACATGCCCTTAAATAGTACGGCTGTTGGATTGAACTGCCAATTCGCAAGGTCTCCATTGAAGGAAGAAGCCCCTGAAAACATGAATCGGACGTCTAGCACATTCCTGATATCCCAAAGGGACAAGTCTTGGTCAAATGATGTAGCTCCTTCAAACATGGAAAGCATACTCTGACAAGCACTGGTGTTCCATTGAGAGATGTCTGTGTTGAATGCGGAAGCCTGTTCAAAGGCGTATAGCATGGATAGCACTTTGCCCGTATTCCATTGACTCAGGTCTCCATTAAAGCTGGTGGCTCCGCTGAATAATCGTGTAAAATCTTCAACGTTGGAGGTATCCCAGTTTTCGATTTGGGCGTCAAAGCCGAATGCATTTTGTGCCATATGAAACATCGTGGTGACTTGGGAGGTATTCCAGCCATTGAGATTGTACTTGAAATCGGTGGTAATATCTTGAAAGAGATAACGAAACGAGGTTACCTGGGAGGTATCCCAGTCTTCGATCCGACCGTATTGCTCGATGGCCGCCGACTCATCCATCATCCACAACTCCAGGGCAGCTCCAATGGTAACGTCGGATAATGACGGAGGAGCCGCCGTCGTCTGGGCGTTGGTAGCCGGCAGTAGTATCATGGCAGCCCCCACGAGAAACCACAGCCAGCACGGTCTACTGCCGCCAACAACAACACGAGCGTTCGCCGCCATCTTGGTTTGTATTAGCGTTCTCATTGTCCAACATTCACACGATGTAGCTCACTAACTGCTTGCCACTAGAGCTACTAGCTTTTTCGAGAAAGCTCTATCTCGCATTGCCTGCCTTTCCCAATGTGAGGTATCGGACCGTGGCCGAAAACTTGGCATGGCCCATCCGGGATTTCAGCGTGCCAGCTCTAAAACCAATGTTTCGGAAGCCGAAATTGGGATCAGCCCATGTCGTTGAAGATACTACTTCGCTTACCACAGTGATTCGGGGTTCGGGGCCCACAGAGACATTTCATTGGCTCTGAGTGCACTGGGCGGGACCAACCATCCCACATCTTTCGCAGAAAACTACTTCCTACGTTTTCCACGGCCATGTTCACGCACAAGGATGCATCGATCGTGTGAGGAGGTCCCACATTAGTTTTTCATGGGGAGCTTGTCGGAACCTTGCTACGACAACTAAAGTCCCCCGTGACAGCCCCAACGAGACCAAAGAAACACGGAACGGGTTGGGTGTTCACCTGCCAACCCTTTCCCACCGTCTCGAGAAGAGATTGGACTCAGGGAAGACTTCAGCCAAGAAAGCTCCCAATGGTAACGTGACGTAACAGGTTGCCATCAAGTGCAAATAGATGCCCGGAAACTAGGCTCTGGGTCAGTGGACGGCAGCGATATGTTTATGACGTGCTAGATAGAGGCCAGGGAGCGATCGGTAGAAGCCAAAAACTGGATACCTCCCTGTATTTTCTACTGGATTTTGATTCAATTGCTTCGTTCGGAGCCGATCAATCAAATATAGCTACATGTAGCAGTACTGTAGTTTTCAGTTATGCCGATATGCCATACTGCAGGGTTGCTGGATAGGCTCAGGCTGATGATACAGCAATGGCTACACGTGAGTGTGATTGTTAGTCGAGATTCGAGGCAGCTACCTGGTACCGTACGGTAGCGTACAGCCGTACTAGCTAGTACATGTACCGGTACCGGGTACTGTACATAAATGCTGCGTCAAACTCAGTGTCCACAATTGATTTCGAGTTTCGTATGGAAAGTTGGATCCATTTATATCTTAACTCTGAGTTCAAAACGCTGTACTGGTGTATCTTCCCACTCTCCAGGAGGGGCTCCGCTGACGTCACTTTGGCGAGGCTTCATTGTTCCTTTGGAAATTACAGCCCAAGACTCGCAACTTGACTCGTATTACTCGCGTCATTTTGCATTTAACTCGCAAAGACTCGCACAGACTCGCACAGAAACGTGACTTTAACTGTAGTCAAAAGCTAGAGACTCGCATGGACTCGGACAGACTCGCACAGACTCGCAATTAGACTCGTTTGACTGGCGTGCGAGTCAAACAAACGCGAGTCGTGCGAGTCTCGCCGAAAAGGTTTCCACAAGAAAGTTCCGAATCATCATGACGTCAGCGGAGCCCCTCCAGACCCTCAAAAGCTAGCTAGCTAGCTAGCTATAGTAGCTAGCTCGAGATGCAGTTGGAGCATGTCCCCTGGAAAGTCCCGCAAAAGCTGGAATCACTGAAAGGATCTGTAAAAGTGTTGAATTTGAGTTCAACAGTGTTGACTTTTGTTAAACAGTTGTTCAACACTTATTTAAACACTTCTTCAACACTTTTTCAACATTGTTGAATACTGTTTAACACTGAATTCAACAGATGTTGAATCCATTAGAAGATAGTTACAGTAAAAGTGTTGAAAATAATGTACAAAAATGCAACAGTAAATCCAACAGTTGTTGAAACGGAGTCAACTTTAAATCAACAGCTCTTCAACACTTTAATTAACACTTTTTCAACACTTGTTGGATTTATTCAACAATCAAGCTGTTTAATTAAAGAGTATTGCAAAAACTCAGTTGTTGCGGGACTTTCCTGATTCCTGAGGTTACAAGTAAATCCACGGGGTTCAAAAGGGGGTATCGATACCGGTACCGGTACCACTGGTACCAACAGTAGACCAGTATGCCATACTGGTACTACCTGGTACTGCAGGCTTGCTGCTGGCTAGGCTAGGGACAATACCGGTACTGCAATGGCTATTACCGTGCAAGCAAGTGTTGTTATATGAGATTTGAGGCAGCTCTTGAGGCTGCGTACCGTTCGCCTTCAGGTATGGTAGTTTGTACTTGTATAGTACTGGAGAAGTCGCAACCACTAGCTAGACTACTGTCCCATTGCCGATCATTGGAATAAATTGTCCCTTGTCATGGTAGTACAGTTAGTTGAAAAGGCCACAGAATTGATGGATCCTCGTCGATCGGGCAACAGGAGGAACGGTGGCAGGGTGGCAAGTGTCTCGATAATGGTGGAGGATTTTGCGGAAGTACAAAGGGGGGTGGCTCATTTGCATTCACCTAAGTACTCTAACCGATACGCACCGTATCGGTGGCTAGCTTGTACCGTACGGTACCAGTGGGAGGGAGATAACGGATTCAGACAACAGACTAGAAGTGCTTGAAGACAACCCATACCGGCAAGCCAAGGTGTTCCCCACAGTCAAGCCTACTAGTACTCACAGGCCACACTGCCTGTGCATTCACCTATTGTACCAGCATGACCAGCAAGGAACAATACCTCCAGTGAGTGGAGGTCACAAACTAGCACTAAATGTCCGCATATCCAGCGAAGGCTCGCACTGTTGAAAACAAACACTTGATCCATCCCGTTTTCCCGCAGCAAGTACAAGGCAACGAAAGAAAGGAGGGAAAAGCCCATGGAGCCTTTCTGCCTTGCTTCTCACAATCTGAATATGCCTAACCTCACCAAGCTCAGCTACCAGTAGGCTGAACCCAAAGGAAACAATTGGCTGACCCAACAAACACCATGTATTCTCTGCTTTCTTCATTCTTGCTCGAGGCATTGCCACTGGAAAGTATTGTCATCGTCCAAGACAATGCAAGGTCACACTCTCAAATTGCAGCTGAATATCTGCCTCAGGCAAGGTTCTCACCACAGACATCCACATCTCGCTGGGAGAGCCTCTCCAAACCATGTTATGATGACACTTCACCCCCCAGTGAAAAGAGAATGCACCCTCCACATTTCCCCAGACGTCAAGCAAGTGCGGATGATGACATGAGGTCCATTTTGGCAGATGTGATGGAGCCCACTACATTGGCAGATCAAAAATCAAATGCGATGGACCCAGGGGTTGCTAAAACCTCATACCCCCCACGTTTCCCAAGACGTAAATCAAGTACGGATGATGACTTGAGGTCTATCTTGGCAAAGATTATGGAACCCATAACATTGGCAGATCCAAAACCAAGTTCAATGGACCCAGAGGTTGCTGGTCTGGCATGCTCCCCACGTTTCCCAAGACGTCAAGCAAGTGCGGATGATGACATGAAGTCCATTTTGGCAAAAATGGAGCCCAATACGTTGGCAGATCCATCGATGGACTCAGAGGTTTCTGGTAAGGGCATCCTCCCCAGTCACGCTGTTTCAGCATAAAAGGAGCAGGGAACTTCAGTGGATAAAGATGCTTGCTACCGGTGTTTGTGAAGCATTAAAGATCCAAGCTGTATAATTTTGAATCTATCGCATACTGGCCAGCATACAAGCAGCAGGGAACTTCGATGGACGAAGATGCTTGCTGTTTGTGAAGGATTAAAGAACTAGACTAAGCTGTATACATGGTAATACTCAATCTATCGCACACTGGTATCTAAAATTTGAACGATCGAGCAGCCACTCTGCCTGGATCGACCCTCAAGGATAGAATGGACCAAAACCGCGACACAGGACGCATCCTTTCGGCAAGAAGAGGCCGCACGCTTCTGGAGTTGGTACCAAGACACAAGCGTTGGCTTGGTCGTCGTCAAACTTCCGAACGAGCTCTTGTGCTAGCACTCGAGAATTCGGCACGAAGAGCTCATGTTCAATCTCATAAAAAGCCGCACGATGCCACAGGTTCCAACTACCCACAGCACTCCAGTGGCCATCAATGGTTACATACTTTGCATGAATAAAAGGTGGCTTCTTCGTTGCTTGGCCCTCCTCCTGGTGCTCGACTAAGAATGTCGAATAGACTTGGACTTTCGGGGCCATTTGGAGCAAGGTCTGGATAGACCTGAAAAGATCTTGCTGCCCCCCTCGTAAGTCGCAACTGTACATGGAATTCACCAATACCTTCACAACGACCCCCCGATCCGTTGCCCTCCGCAGAAGCTCACAGACGGGGATGGGAAAGTTCGCATGGCCAAAGCACATGTGAACAGACGTCTGTGCCTTTTCAATGGCTTGAAGGACGGCCCGAAGAATGCAATCTTCGCCATCGCTGCTGGGATTGGACCGCAAAAAGTGGGCATCGCAGTCTTGGGTAGTGTTCCATTCCTGTTTGTCCAATACTCGCTGGAGGCGAGTGGACAAAGGACTTGAGGGCTCCTGAAACTCTGAAACCAAGGAATCCTCTTGCTCCATGGCCCGCCACAGCTCCTCCGTGGAATACGCAATTTCTCGGACAACACTTCCACAGACTACCATGTCAATTTCGGTCTTGGCAGCTGCCATTGTGGGGCACACGTTGGATCCCCCCATAATAGCAACTTGGCCATCCACAATGATGCCCTTGGAATGATTCTTGATGCGGTATTCCCTGTTTGCATCCTTGGCACACCACCATCTGACTTGGTACGACTCGGACTGCAGTGCCAACAGAGTTTGCAAAAACTCCACCATGTTGGCGGGAGTCTTGTTCTGTGCCGCTGGGGCATCGCCACCAAGTCGCTGGAAAAAGGATGTTTCCGTGACATCACCTGTGGGTCCATTGTTATTGTGGCATGCATCATCCACTGCAAAGGCAGACTGGACCATGGCAGCTTCCATTGTCATGAGATCGACCATGATGCGCACCGTCACACCGTGATGGCGGACACAATAGGGTAGCACATCGAGCAGCAAGTATCGCACAAATGGATCGGAGCCAAACAAGTAGCAAGTGGTCAAAATTATGCTTCTTGTGGCGGCCAAACAGGTCTCCACCGCGGCCTGAGCATAGTCATCTCTGTGGCGTAGCAATCGCACTCGAGTGTCGGGGTGAATTGTTTCTTGGAGTGTAATCTCGTCGTTGGCGTTGTGATTGTACTTTTCATTCCATTCAGTGACATGGATGCTTTCATTCAAAACCAGTGTAGGCTGGAGAATCATGAGTTGCTCCAGGGCCAGATTGACAATATTTTTGGCTACCGAGCCTTCATGAAAACCATACTTGTTAAAGCATGAACACGAGTCAGTTGTGGCCGTGTGACGCTGCTCCAGCGCTTCTTGGACGAAACGCAAGCACTGAACCAGGAATGTCGCGTTTGGGAGTGGCAAAGAGGATCTGCCGTGTTGCTGCAAGCAGAGCGCATCGTAACAAGGAATCGTCGTCGATCGCTTCCAACCCGTCAAGTTTCCATTCGGCTTGGAAAGAAAGAATCCAGGTGCTCTGCCACCCTCGACATCATTATAGGATGCAATCAGAGGTTCCATGGCATCGATCGAGTCGGCCAGATGATCATCGCGAAGAATGACGCAATATTGTTGCAACAGACTCGTCGCTATGGCTTCGGGTGAAGGAGCCAATGCCAAGACGGCGGGCAGCAAGACACTCAAGACTGCCGCTTCTACCAGGTTGGATTGCTGCTGTTCCAGGAGTTGTGCAGTGGTAGGCGTTACCAGAGCCTCGGCACTGCAGGATCCCACCGAAAAAAAGAAATCGGCTGGAGCTGTCATGGCGCGTTGGTGACGGCGCCCCGAAAAGGCCACAACTGGCGGTGGAGCTACTTCATTGTCGACCGTGATGGCTTCCATTTGAAAAATACTGCAACCGTACGACACTTGGCTAATAAGATTGAAGAATATGAGAAAGACTTTTGGAGACTCTCACTCCGGTGTTTCCCCAGGTAGTGCTGGTATGCATCCCATTGCAAACGATACACTCCTAAAATAACTATACCAGCCATGGTTTTGCGGAAGCTGAAGAGTTGACAGAGTGAACTTCCGTACGGTACTACCCAAGCAAGCTAGTACCTGGTACCGGTACCATTCTCAGTTCAGCCTTGTTTTGCGGAAGCTGCAAGGTTCAAGAAGGGTCAACCGTTCGCAGTGTGCGGAAGTAAAAATCAGCACATCATTGTCCAAAAGAGACAAGAACTTGACTCCGAGCCTTCTTTCACCGACTCTCCAATGATTCGATTCGATTCGATTCGATTCGATTCGACTGTGACTCGACTGTGACTCGACTCGACTCGACTCGTCACTCGACTCGACTCGATCGATTCGATTCGGATTCAATCGATTGATTGCATCATCCCGTTGACCCAATCGTGGAATTATACCGTAGCGTGGATGACATGAATGAGCGTCATGGATTTCCTTGATATCGGAGAATCTTTGGTTCCTGTGCCTCTCCAATCGAGTAGACTACTTTCCGCAAACCTTTTGCGGTGGCTTGATTTCGCTTGCTTGTTCGCCCGATTGAGAACTAATGGCGAACAGTGGAGTTGCTGGTGTTCGGAGAGCATAGTAGTTGGATTTACTACAGAAATAGCTACTCTTGGAGAAGTCCACAATACTGATAAACTGGCACAGGACGAATCCAGCAGTGACACGAGTTCTGGAGCAATCTCCGGTTCTGGAGCAATCTCCGGAGAGTTTTACGAGTGGGCAATCCTTAGGAACGCATGCTTCAATTCTGTAGACACGCTGTGGGATGAAGCTGACTAGACACTATGCCTCTCCCATCTTGTGCATTTTCAGTGCAATGCTTTGCTTCTTTAAACAAGAGAATGAAGGCTGCTTGGTCCTACGCAGTACTCAGTATCTATAATGGTTTTTGGTGTGTCGATTCAGTGTGTCTTTTTAGCTGGTGGTTGGCAAGCCAGCTCTCATACGCTCGATGAATCAGGGCATAGTACATTTTTTAGATTCCAGTATGGGATACCTCGGAAATTATACAGCTTACTTCTTTTAATGATTCACAAATAGCAACACTTCGTCCACTGAAGTTCCCTGCTCCTTTATGCTGAAACGGCATGACTGGAGAAGGTGCCCGCAGTACCAGCACCCTCTGTGTCCATCAAATTTGGTGTTTGATCTTCAACTGTACTGGAGTCTATGATATTTGCAATGAGGGGCTTGATTTCATCATCCACACTTGCTCGGCGTCTGGGGAAACGTGGAGGGTGCATTCTCGTTGGCATTTCACAGGGGTGTGGGGTGTCATCATAACTTGTTTGTCTCCGAGGGAATCGAGGTGGGCATGATTTCCTGGAAGCTTCACTATTCGAGGTCTCTTTGCCTTTGGCTTGCTGTCTTGGTTTTGACCTCCTTTTCTTGGAACCACTTGAGAGGCTTTCCCAGCGAGATGAGGATACCTGTGGTGGCGAGAACCTTGCCTGAGGTGGATCTTCAGGTGAAATCTGAGAGTGAGACCAGGCATTGTCTTGGATGATGACAATACTTTCCATTGGCAATACGTTGAGTAAGAACGAAGAAAGCAGAGAACTCATGGTGTTTGTTTGATCCAGTCCTTTGGTTCAGCCTAGCCGAACGTTGGTGTGGAATATTCAAATTGTGAGAAGAGAGGAAGAATGGTTCCATGGGTTTGCTTCTCCCTCCTTTCTGGCCCATCCTTTGCCCTGCTTTCTGCATGGATTGTTTGTTCTATCAGTACAAGCTTCTGGTGTACAGTCAACATTCAGATATATATACTGGGGGGGATTCAGGAATTCAGTAAATATAACAGCGAGAATAAATATTGATTTTATCCCTAACCCTAACTATTCTCGTAGAATTGTACGTGCTCTAGTACTAAAATAGGGTTAGAGTTAAAAATGTGGGAACTGGAGTATTCTTAAATATTATAGAGCGAATAAATACAAGATTATAAATATAAGCGAGCGTTGACTGTATTAGTTAACGTACCGGATTATTGGTTCCTTGCTGGTCAAGCTTCGAGTGGCTTTGCTTTTGAAACCAGGGCCGCGGCCAGAAAGTTCCGATCGAATTTGAAGCGAATGATTCAATCTATTTGTCCGAGGCCTTCCCTTCTTCAGTGGTACCGTAAGTCCGGCAAATCGATTGAATCGCCCTGAGTGTGAGAGCTCCTTACTTAAGGCTTGTACATGGGTATAAGTTCTCAAGAAGCAACCGCAGAACGCCGAAGGTTTGTGTTGTGCATTGATTCTATTCTGTTCTGATTCTATTCTTTTCTGATTCGTGCACTGAAGCACACCAACATGCTCTCTTCGACACAGTACTGGAACAAAAACACAAAAACCATTGGAGGTTGGATGTCTGAGAAAGAGCAAAATAATATTCGCATTGCTGAAAGAACACCGCATTGCTCGTCAATCAAACGAAATAAGTTGCATTGACTTTGTACGTGTAGTATACAGGAACACGTCACCCTGGAAAGTGGTGTCATCATCCAGGACAAAAATGCCAGGTCACACTCCCAATGCAGTTGGTGTTGGTATCATTAGCCACCCTGTCCAACTCTTTTGACTTTCAAGCTCCAACATTATTTCTGTGACCCGTTCGTACGCGTACCCCGTCTTGCTGGCCACAGCGAGCGACCTACTCGGCTACCGGTATGACCTACCGGTACCGGTACATGTGCTGCCCTCCAAATGCGTTCTTCGCCGCTTCGTGCTTCGTGGCGATGGCTACAGGTGCGATTGTTACCAGGTATTATTTGAGATTTGAGCAGTTTGAGGCATGACGCTAGCGAAGGCTGTGTTCAACTCAAAGTGTCCGCAAGAACTGCTAACTACTATGCATACATTTAGTGGCTTTTTCGTCAATTTCTCCGATAGCACCGATCTGTGATTGGAACGGTACAGTCTACTGTACTACTCGAGTCGTTAACTACTATCGGTAGCTGGCAGCTAGCTGGCTAATAGCTCTAGTATTACTCAGGAGTACAGCGTAATATTAATAGTACGTGGAGAAGCTACTTATTATTTATTTGTTTAGTAGTTCAGCAGCTTGAGGAAAAAGCATCTGAATTCAATCCAGCTGCCAGGAAGGCAGCCGATTTTAGAGGTACGACTGTAGGGTTGGCTTGTGCCGGATCGCTGAAAGTCGTTCCTATTCGCGCTGCGCGACTTACCGCGAGTTTCCCGCGATTCGCACAACGCGAATAGAACGAATGGCGCGACTTCACCGCGACTTCCCGCGACTTTCTTAGTTAAACTGCTAGTATTTACAAGTCGCGCAGCGCGACTTAGCGCGAGTCGCGAACGACTTTCCAAGTCGCGTAGCGCGCGAATCGAGCATATGCTAGGGTTAAGGCCTAATCGGCTGCCTTCCAGATGCTTTTGAAGAAAAAAATGTCCAGAAAGCGTCGCCACCCATGAAAGCTGGACATTGGAAGCCGGAACCAACACAGATGCAGTACAGACTGATCAGCTGATCAGAATGTTAGAATGTTGATTCGATTCAATCGAATAATCAATAATCAATCTGATGGCGAGATCTTCTTGGTTGTTCAACCCAGCCCCCTGCAGTACATACACCTGTGTACTGTATGCCATTCCGATAGCCATCGAAAAAAGAACAGTGAAAGCTGAACTCAGAGCAGGCTACTGTACCACCAAGCTAATCTGTAGCTCTTCTGTACCGTATATTCGTACAAGCCGGTACAGAACCCTGCGCCAAACAACACAGCAGCAACGTATCAGCAGTACACAAGCGCTTGCTGGTAGCTAGCTAGCCGCCAGTGCTAACTGATTGGCAAAACACACACCCAGCATGTCATCACTCTCACTGAGGATGCATACTGACTTCAGACAGAGGAGGGGAAAGTGGGCAGGCCAGGAGCTCTGGAGGAATTTAGCTTTGACGACCTCTTCGGCGTTTTTTGAAACGAACCTGAACGAACTTGAGTGGTACCGGTAGTTCTGAGTTCCGAAGCAAATGCCTGCAGGTGTTCACAATTTTGAACCCACCAAACCCACCCAGCTGGTACCAGTACAGTAGCTAGACCCTAAAACAAACAAATATTCGGGGCCGAGAGAAAAATCGGTACTAGACAGTAGACCACCGTGGATCAGAATATCAGAATGACTAACCACTGCAAGAAACAACGCGGAAGATTCCGTGGGATCAAGACTTTTACGTGTGTAAACGGACTAGCTGGTAGTGTTTAGTTGAGGGTCTACTAGTAGTAGAGAGTGGGAAGTTTAGTACCCAGTGTATTATATCTCGCATTGAAGTTGCAGTGGATGCGAAGGGTACGAAGTAGCTACCAGGTAGCTAGTCTACTAGTACAGTAGCAGAAGACCGGAACTGGTGTATTGGGTCTCTCGTGGAAGTTACAAGTGGACAAGAATCAAAGGCGAACGATGTGAGAGCGACCGTATTCCAGTGCTGTATGTAATTCCAGACTCTCAAAGTTCACAATCCTGAAACCCACCAAACCTCAGCCAGCCTTCACCAAGCAAGGGACGCCATGAGTTCTTTGCTTTCCTCGTTCTTGTTGGAAGCATTCCTGGACAGCTTTGTCATCGTCCAAGACAATGCCAAGATGCAGCCGCAGCTTTTACCAAAGGATTTGGCTCAGCCAACGCTCTCATCATCAGCAGCACCCCCATCCTGCTGGGAGAGCCTCTCAAGGGGTTCCAAGAAAAAGAGACCAGGGAAGACACGGAGGGAGCAAGTGGGAGGCAAAGCCATCTCAGACAATGCATCTGCAAGGAAATCATGCCCGCCTCGTTTCCCTCGGAGACAAATAAGTATTGACGATGATCTAGCCACCAATGAAATACACCAGAGAATGGACCCTCCACGTTTCCATCAACGACGAGGAAGCGGGGACAATGAATTGCATCCCATGATATTGGCGAAGCTAATGGACATTGATACCCCAGCATGCCCCATGGCAAGTTCAATGGGCATCAGCATCCCCACCCATGCCACGTCTGCTTAATAAGGATCAGGGCGATCCAAGGGATGAATCATTTGGGCATTTGAAACAGTTAATCTCCGTAGTAATTTGTATTTGATACATGTCAAAACAATCCAGGAAAAACATGATATTTTACACAAGACACATCTCTGGAAGTCCCCCGATTGGCGATCGTGGAAGTCGCGAAAAGTCGTTAAAGTCGCGAAAGTCCGAAAGTCGTTAAAGTCGCGATAGCAGTCGTTCTAAGTCGCGTAAAGTCGCGCAATACGAACAAGTCGCGATTCAAGTCGCTCCAAGTCGCGATTTTGTACTAGTAAAAAGCTAGTAAGGTCGCACTAAGTCGCGCAAGTCGCGAAAGTCGCGCTCCAAGTCGCACTAGTCGCGCCCAAGTCGCGATAATTAAAAATCGCGACTTTAAAAAATCGCGACTAGCGCGACTACGGTCGAAGTCGCGATATTGACGTCATCGGGCAGGTGGGTAGAAGCAACACTGAGTACTGGAGCAGCCTCTGGAGAGTTGGGCAAGATGAGTTGATGGTCCTTGCACGTGCTCGCTTCGGGGATGAGCAAACCTCCTCATAGCGCTAGATTGCATTGGTTAGGCAGTAGGGTATATGTGGTGCTAGTACCTCCGTAGTTACCGATACATTGACATATAATACTGGTAGATTGATCAACTGACTCAACTAACTAAAAGTCAGTTGAAAACTTAAAATTCGGTTTTTTACCGGCAAATACGTTTAATTGGATTGGATTGTTTGAATTGTATTGGATTGGACTAGATTGGATTCAATTAGATCCAGAAGAGTACTGTATGTTGTATAGTAAATACCAATTCAATGCAATCCAATCCAATTCAATTCAAAGCAATCCAATTCAATGCAATCCAATCAAAAATAACCAGAAAAAGCCAAAAATTGGATTTGATCATTCCTTTTCGCCCAAACTGTACCGCTGCAGGTATCCATACCTAGAGGACTTTCTTGGTAGTAGTGTGGAATCTGACCCACCCTAACTATCAGTGTTACGGTATCGAATAGAGTACACTACAGCCCTATGGCAACTTTTGCTCACCCCCTTCCTTCCTGTAGACAGTTGGAGAGGGAGATTCGATTCGTTGGGTGGTGATATAGCACAAAGAGGGCCTGCGGACAGGGAAAGATAACGTGTGCCTCTGGTGTGGAACTCTTTTAATCGTGCTTTTTAGAGGCAAGTACTGGTAGGTGCCGGCACAGGTGGCGGTGCCTGGGTGGAATGATTGAAGATTCAAACCACAACCAAGAACGCAACAACAAAGCTGAACATGTACATGTACCTCTGAAAACGAACAAAAACTACCAACCAGGTCAAAAGATCCAGACGGGACAAGAGGAAAAAGTGTCGCGGGCGGTGCTTCGAGTGGAATACGAGCTCAATTTCCCAAGGGTATGCCTGAGCGCACCCCGCAATTGGAGGGATGTGGTACAGTAGACGAAGTTTCTGACACGGGAGACGGTGACGAAGTGCAAATCGTCAAGAGCAGATCCGCGATCCCACCGTCTGAATCCCTTCCGTATCCCTCGATTCCTGATTCAGGCGAGGGTGATGACGCATCGAGCTCGGACGCTACGGGACCAGTTAGCTGCGAACGACAATATGATGCAGCCATGTTCGACTGGGAAATGGTACCAGAAGACGACGCCTGTGGCATCTTTAAGGACGATGTCGAATCCCTTGCAGGCAGCGTGGACTCGAGATTTGCCGATGCTGTCAAGTAAGGAAAACACCAAACTGAAGCCCTCGAAATGAAACAGGCTCCTCAAATAAGGCAACAAGGAGAATCGAGCACCAAAGACGATAATTCGGAGGGTTGCGCAGCAACATACGAGTGCGGCCCTTGTGTCGGCGACTTGTATTATTCTGCCAAACACATGAGAGGTGGGAAAAGGGCACTTTTTAAATAAAGGCAACCCACTAAAGAAAGATCGCTTGGATCGTCGATATCTCCGCAATCGATGTGGGGAATGGGGTTGCCCGTGCCGGGGCTCCGATTGGCGCGGTCGGGCTCAAAAGAGGGTACTCGACAAAAATCACCGAGAAGCTCGAAAGAAGAGACACGACGCGGATTGGAGAGGCTATTTAGCTAGGCATACCGTAGCCATGGGTACCGGTAGCTCTGTAGATACCGACATCACGGTCATGCTACCGGTACCAGCTGCTATTTGTCCATCTACGACAGCTTATTATTATGTACCAATTATTTCGTTCGTTCGTTTTAAAAAATAGAGAATACTACACGTTTGCGAAGTTGCTATCGCATCTTTCATTTCCGTTGTTGTTGTTGTTGTTGTTGGTATATCATACTGACAGAGTGCCCTTGCTGCTGGCAGTTTTCCCGGCACGGCGACTGTCCACCATGGCACAGTACTTGAGTGCTCTTCCAAATGCTGCTGCCGTGGCCATGGCTCGGTCCTTGAGACTACTATTACCAGCATCGTCACCGCCAGTGGTTCGTACAATATGGACCGTCATGCGACCATTGACAACCAAGGAATCCAATACGTGATCGAACATTTCCACCGACAAGTCACCCACGAGTTCTTCTTGCACCTCGCCCAATGCCAAGTTGTGCGTCAGACAGGGTCGATTGGAGAGATCCATGGTGACTTCAATGGTTTCTTCTTCATTGTTGGTAGTGTTGTTCACCGTTTGTTTGGCACACCACATACGATTCAACCCCGCCTTGGTACCCAATGCTTGTGTCAGTACCTGTCCCACGGCAATGGCCACATCTTCGGCGGTGTGATGATCGTCGACCCACAAATCACCCTTGCAATCAATGACAAGACTCATATCGGCTTCCTTGGCCAAAATAGTAAAGAACTCATCCAGAGTGCCAATGCCCGTGTGGATACTGGTCGCTTCGGACGTGCCATTTAACTTTAGGGATACGTCAATGTTGGTTTCCTTGGTGGCGCGCGATATCGAGCCAACTCGTGCGAGTGCAATGGAGTCTTTTTGATTTTTGGAAGACTTGCCCCACATGTGCGGAAAGGATTCGCCTCCTGCCATGGTCGTATTGGTCCCATCGAGCAAATTGCGCATGGCGCGTGAAAACGCCTTGAATGTGGATTCGACAATGTGATGGCCATTGTCTCCCCGTAGTTTGGTGAGTGATATTTGCAATCCCGAGGATTTGGCAAATGCTTCCCAGAATGCTTTAATGGCGGCGGTTTCGAGATGGCCAATCTTCGTGCGACCGGTCGTTTTTGGGTATTTGCCAAAGGGTGCCAATTGGTACTGGACCAAGGAACCAATGGGTTTGGAAGAAGTTGTGGTGGTGGTGGTTGTTTCCTTTTTGTCAGTAGTATTGTTTTTGTGATCCAATTTGCGTCGTTTGTTGCTGCTACCCTCGGAGGGGTCTTCCTCTTCTGCCGTCTTTTGTTGTGTGGTTGTTGTTGTTGTGGTAGTTGTTTTGGCAGGTTTGGTCAAGATGCATTCGACGAGTGCTTCGTCGAGAGGACAACAGAATCTCGAGGTGGCAGTGGTATCATCGGATAGACTGAGAAACTTGTTGAGTAGTGCCACTTGACATCCGAGTGTCCATCCGACATGTCGCAATAGAGAAGTCTGATCGGATTGCGAGAGACGGTTGGGATTCTTTTCAAAGGAATCTTTGTCATTATTGTTGCTGTTATTGGCCTCCATCTTTTGGTCATCCCCATTATTGTTGTTGTTGTTGTTAGTCTTTTTGTGTTTGGTCCCCGATAGATTGGACAAATCGGAATGATGATGGACGGTCAAGCCGACTCCAATTTGTGCATGGGAATTGAGCTGATCCATCATGTGATCCAGAAACCCAATCCCCGTATGGATGGGTTCGGGTACCTTTTTCAAGTCCACACACGCCACTTTGGTAGTCGTAAAGGACGACGTGACCGAGTTGGACCGGATGGTAGAAGAAGATGCCATGGTGGATGATTGTACGTAGTAGGTAGAGTGTACGGTAGATGGATGGATAGATGATGATATCAATGGCTTGTCTTTCGCCAAAAAGTGGTGCTGAAGGATAATGACCCTGTCTTGATGCTACCAGTACCAGTTCTATGCTTGATAACGATGGTTGTCTTGCGAAAGATCTGATAACCACTCAAGCAATCGCTCACTCAATCAACTCTGCCTCCGGTATCGATTCAGCTTTCCACTAATCTGATCTGATCTGATCTTGGTCGATTCGATTCGATTCCTGTTAGATAACAAGGATCGAATGGCCTAATAATGACTGATGAACACACTGTTGTGCTTGTTTACTCTCAAGCTCAACCCTCTCTACTCCGAGCAGCTCTGTCCTTCTGCTGATGATGGCATCCGAAATGGTTACTCCAGTGGTACAAGAGCCAAGAGCCGCTTTTGGTCGGTCATCAGGGGCAATTTACACCATGTGGGGTATTCGAACGGTACTGTACCGTAAACAGGTTATGAGACAAATCGTAGAAGGAAGACTTAAAGAAACGACAAAGTTAACTCTTTTCAATCTATCCTAAAGCACGGCTGAAACCACAGACAGAACATCCACAACCACCCAACACCCAACCGCAACAACATAACACCACAACACCAACCCACTTTCTCCTCTGCAAGAAGCACCATGAGTGACATGGAAGACGATGATGCACCCATGTCGGTTAGTCGCCGACGGCCCAACATTCTCATCACTGGTGAGTGATTGAAGCTGTTCTAGTTTGGTCAGTTGGATACCCCAACCTGCCTCCACCCCCAGAAAACCTCCCACTCATTCATTCTTCTCGTGTTTCATTCATTCATTCCATTTGACTACTCGTGTAGGGTCACCTGGAGTGGGAAAGACTTGCACGGCTGCCTCCATCGCGGTAAGATACCCTTTGTTCCTTATTCGGTTTGCCACCTTGCTTTCCTCTCTCTGATCACACATACTCTTTCTTTTTCGTTTTTCATTTCCCAGAAAACAATGGGCAGCGACATGGTCCACGTTAATGTCGGCAAATTCGCCGAAGAACACAAATGTTACGAAGGGCGCGACGAAGAATTGGATACCAACATTTTGGATGAAGACAAGTTGCTCGATCTGCTCGAAATCCAATTTCAACAATTAGCAGCTGCCAACAAGGGCATTGTCGCCGACTTTCATGTCTGTGAAATATTCCCCGAACGATTCTTTGATTTGGTACTCGTCCTACGAACCAAGACCGAAACACTCTTTGATCGACTCACGGCACGAGGATATTCCGAACGAAAACGATCCGAAAACATGGAGGCCGAAATCATGCAAGTCATTCTCGAAGAAGCACGGGCGTCGTATGCCACCGAAATTGTTCATGAAGTGCCATCCAATACGGTGGCAGACTTGCAATCCAATGTGCAACGGGCGTGTCAATGGTGTGATCAATGGGTGGCGGATCATACCTAACTTGCATACTTACATGTACATATGTACTGCCTTTAGAAACGTAAGTGAGCAAGTGTGGCCGGCAATAATATTCGATTGATTAGAGCAAGACTATTCGTTCTCGTCAAGAGCCGTCAATCTTTGCAAGAAACACAACAATACACGACTTTGGAACACAAAATGTGTTATTATTAGGATCCTTTTCCACACAGCGTTCCTGGTGTTGTTGTGCTGGTACAGTACTGGTATCGCTAGAACGCTGGAACAACATCCTCTGTTTAGCATCGTGTATAGTGGTATCGATGTGTACGGTGATACTGCAGTGGACAGGAGAACTTTGTAGAGGCAACTGAACCGTGTTGACTAATCAGACAAAATGGTCGCATAAAACTTCCTCGTCATGATGGCTTCTACCACCGTCCAAGTTTCAACCGAGGCTGGCTCGAAAAGCGCCGCTGTCATTACCGTATGAAGTGGAATCAAACATGGACCGTGGGCATGACACCATGGTTGAGGAAATCAAACTCTTCTATCATGGCATTGAAGACATGTCCGCAACTGTGTCGTGAGCATTGTAGCCAGGAAGATTGATTGCAACTTCTGTTCTGGTACGATATTTGGTATTTTGGCTGGCTTAAAACAACGCAAACAGTCAAGATCCAAGATCTACTCTAGCTAGTACCGTACTGTACTGCCTGGATTTTGATGGCGCAATGGCTGCCGTACATCGTACCAGGTACTCGACGATGAGGTTGGCAAGGTCTACAACCACCCTACAAACAATACTGCTTCTTAGTAGTCTTCTTCATCTACACATCTGGAGGGTGCAAGGGTTTTCTTCTCTACTGAGGCCAATCTCAGTGGTCCGAACGCGGAATTATCGAGCTCCAATCGCTGAGGAGTGCTCATCGCCATCGCCATCATTCAAACCAGACGTCTTTCGTATGACTACTGTATCCAACAATGACGATAAGCTAGCCATGAAAAGCTCATGGTTGTCCTGTTACCGTGGTCTTCCCCTCCAAGTGGGAGCATTTTACGCCCTTCTCATTGGAATCCTTCGTCGAACCATATTCCAACCAACATCCACCACTACCATTATTACCACTCTATGGATGGGGTTTGTGCTGACCATTTCCTTTATGGAGGCCTGGGTCAAATTTCGTGCGCCCTTTCTACCTCGGCACTATGCATTGGATGTGGGAAGGACCGTCTTTCCAGTATTGAATGCGGTGGAAGTGGCACTTTGCGGCCACTTGTGGTGGACAGTAGCCAAGAACAGTCGATCTCTGATAATGGCGACACTCATTTTGCTATCGCAAGTGATCTATATGACACCCCAATTGGTCTTGCTTGGAAAACATGTCATTGTACACGCATTTGCATCCAAAGAGCCCAGCAATTGGTCCCCATCACAACGTGACACTTTTGAGACATTGGCTGCCGACGTGAAGCAAACCAAGCGACCATCCGGCAAGTTGCATATTGTCTATGTGCTGCAAGAACTTGTCAAAGTGATACTACTTGCAACGATCGTACGGAACTTTCAAACAGGATTGTAACTATCTGTATTGCTGCAAAAAAAGGGGAAGCTATTAGTAACAGTTACTCATTTACTGTTGATCGCTGGTGTTGGGTGCAAAGCTATGTTGCTTCTCTTTACTCGAGTTCATTTCTACTTTCTATCCTTTGTGCTCCCGGCTGCTGTTGCTCAGCATGTCCACGTACATGTATTGGCTGGGCACACTACCGGCATTTCTTTGACCTCGATAGAGTGGAAAAGTTGCTGCATTTAGGATATCCCAATGGATGGGGGCCCATTTGCACATTGCTGTAGTGGCAGCTATGGATTTCAGGCCAAACCTGTGGAAGTGCATGACTACAGTTACCAAGGGGCTTCAACTGATGTCTCATTGTCTGCATCATGGTACCATTGGCACTGATGAACAGCGCTCTCTGTGTCCATTTTATTTCAAGTTCACACACCACAAGCAAGTTCACGAAGAAACGACCTTGGCCATGCATGTCATTAGGTACCCTATCTGCAAGGCACTGCAAAACTTGACGGTTTGCTTCCCTAGATCTAGCTAGACTCACCTGTTCACCACTGCAATACCAGGAAGTCATCTATTGCTATCCCAGCTAGCGTCACCCTGATGCAGCCACACGTTCTTCAAATTCCTTCCCCAATATGGCCTTGAAGCAAACATGACAATAATAAAGATGGAATAGGTCACCATTGTAAACAAGAAGAAGAACTGATCAATTCGGCGAAGTGAAACTGTGTACACCCAGCTTTCGGAGGGATCATCTTGAAGTTGTTGCTTGAAGGTAGTAAATTGTGCTGTGCCATTATTGTTGTCATTTGTCAAAGGACTTTGTGCATACCCTGCTCCTGAACTAGTTGAGATGCCTTCCTCCAAGTAACTGGCCAGGTTGTCGCAATCTACTATTGTGGAGGTGCGTTCATTCAAAACAATGGAACGGTCTTCACCTCTTGTGGATTGTTGTGGTTGGAGAGATCTGGTGGGAAAAAACTCTGATTTTGGCTCACCGTTGCGATCCTCTTCTTCGGTCTCCGGTACTTTCATTCCATCATACAGGGGATTCTGTTGTTGCTGTTGTTGTTCCGGGGATGAGACTTCTTTGTCCGCCTTGTCCTTTCGGAAAAAGTAGAGATAGCCAATGGCAACTGATTCCACCAATCCCAGAATGACCCAATAGAAACTCCAACCAATGAATTTGTCAATCCACAATCTTTCATTGCTGATGGGGACCACGCCTCCTGTCGCAATGTGCTGAGCCACAACTACAAGTGCCAAAGCCATGCCATAGCTGAGCCGTTCCCCGACTCGAAGGTCCAACAGATAGGTCCCCATACTGACATAGGTGAGAATGATGGTTGGTACCTGGGTTGTTGAATGAACAAAAAAGAGAGAGGTCAACAATAAGGATCACGAAATGCATGTATACATGTATGTCAGATTCAGAGGAATTCCACTTACAAGAAGATTGTTGACATAGTATGCTTGCGCTCGACGATAGTACAAGTTGAAATACATGACACTTCCACCAAAGGCCGTGCCACTTTCGGAGAGCTCTGGTATTGGCAAATACTCATTGAACGTTCCTTCGAATGGACCAGCTTCCAAGCCTGTCCCATTAAAGAGCTCATAACGGATTTGACTACTAGCTTGCCGCACCCAGGGTCCAACAATGATTTGACAACCCAGCACATCAAATGGAATTTGACTGAGACCGGTGAATGCAGAATACCGTGACACCACCATTCCGTCTCCACGACACCATCCCACTGCTGTCCACCAGTGCCAATGTATCGGGCATCGTCTGGAGTCCCTCCACTTGATTGTACATGTCAATATCGGGAACCCACACTTCAGTTTTTTCTTTTTCCCATCCGGCCCACAAGGAAACCGCACCGGCACATGTGTCCTCGGTCGGTTCCCATTGTAGACGTTCGTCTTTCCATTCCATCAAGAGACTGATCATGATGCGAGCCGTTCCCGTCTGGACGTCAATTTTTTCCACGGCATTGGGTGACAGTGTCACGGTGACATGAATGGGTGATCGAGGGGTGACAATGGGAGGCACCGCGGGATCGTAGTTCTCCAGTATTTGTTGTCGGATGTTGGACTCGCACTGGTAGACGGGGACTGATCCTTCGCAGCACTGCGAGTAAAAGTTGCGAATCCAAGAGTCACAGTTGTCATCCGTTAGTAGTAGAGATGATTGGGCCAATTGCTCCCACTCGCCACATGTCAGATTCGAGGGAATGCCATCCTCCTCACTACTGCGATAAAAAGGAATCTTTTCGTCAATCACGGTGGAATCATGGCAAATGGAACACATGGACGAGTTGTGCTCTTCTTGCAGTGATCTGACCTCTCCAAAGACGTAATCAGAGGGAATGGTGATGGAAGAAGTCTGCATTTCGGATTTTCTATAGTTGGGGTGAGGCGCACCGGCCAGGCAAACGGAAGGAAATGACTTCGAAATATAGAGATTTGTATATAAGATAACAATACTTAGTGCTAATTACTAAATCGCAGAAAAGTGAGGGCAAGAGATCATAGAACACCAAAAACCATGGAAGTCCACTAGAAGAGAAAAGCGAAGTCGAAGTCGATAAGTAGAAGACAAGTGTGACTGACTACTAGAAATTTACTACTAGGACGACAATTTAACTACTTCAGACATACCGAACCTGGGCAAGTGCCTCTAATAGAGCCCTCCACAATCGACCTTGGTTCATGCGTCGCCACATGAATTCAAACAAGCAGGGCTTAACGCCCTCTTCAGTTCTCTTTCTTGCAGGGACAAGCTTCTTGACACCGTTCCAGGTGCCTTCAATTGTGTTGGTGCACGCACCGGTCAATGGGTCTTTGTAATTTTCGGAGTGGTTCACTATAAAAAAAGTAGTAGAAAAGTGAGACACAGTTGTCGAAAAAGCAGTCGCGCGACTGACACCTCAACTTACCGACTTCATGCTGATACCAGAAGTCCTCCTTGCCCTCGAGATCCTCATAACTGGGGAACTTATCGCTGACGATGATGGATCCGGGCAGGATAAAGTCGGTAATAAGGGCCTCCAAAGTGGGCTTCTTTCGGTCAGGAACGGCAACAAGGAAGCACTTCCGTTCTGGTGTTCTTTCGACCCCACCAAAAACCCACACACCGTCCACGCGGTGACCTCGGTGGTACTTCCTCTTACCGAACTTAGACTCGTCAATCTCGACTTCGATGCCTATGCCACCAATCTGGTAGTTCTCCATGGTCTCAAGAACCATCTCACCGATGAGCTGTTGCGCAAACTTGAACCAGTCGGTGACTGTGTTTGGGGACCACCCAAACATGCTTCTAACAGAGGTGTAAGAGGTACCACAGATAAAAAGGTAAAGGAAGTACAGGACGTCCTTAATGGGAATTCTGCAGGTGTTGAAGAATGTACCTGCCATGATCGACTGTGTCCACCTCTTACCGTGGACTGCCTTGCACTGGCGTCTGTTGCAGTAGATCAGGTTTTTCCTGTTGGGATAATACTCTACTGGTTGTTGACACTGGACGCAGTGGTCTGGAATGTTGAGGCAACCCTCGTTAACTAAGTATTCTATGGTATTTTCATTGCTGCCGAAGACATCTTCTAGTGCCCTAATAGGGGGAATTCCCCGGTGGTCTTCATTCAGGTTGATAGCTGCCATTTTCGAATTGTGAGACCGACTGGACTTCTGCAGTTGGCAGCTGTACGTTGGTGTATTGGGGAAGTCTTTGCTGTTTGAATGTAGCAGAACGACTTCCTCTGTACTGGCTATCCATAAGTACGACTATCTTTGATTAGAAGCAAGACCGCCATGCAGTCTTCTGATGGAGTCGTTGTGACTGTTACAGTAATTCGAATATTCAAAATAGTCACCTCAGTAGCCTAGATTTGAAAATTGACTGGATACGTACAACGAAGTCCACTCACTTCCTCTGGTCATAAAATCAAGTCTTTCAAGACCAGCAATGGAAGAAGAACTCGACCAAGACCACTATCTATTTACCAACCCCTACACAGGCAAGTCGTACATCAAGAAAAAGCAACAATCTATGCAGAATTCAGCCTCAATGCCACACCAACAAGTGGTCCAAGACAGTAAGCAAGACTTCGATTTTCATGGGCTCTTTAACACCGGAGCTTCCAAGAACAGGTGTGCCGTAAAAAGACGTCCTACGGTGACAGGAAGTGTGTCTGGAAGAGCCAGTAAGACGCAGAAGACCGGTCCCGGTTCTGTCATCATGGCTTCCGTCCCTGAGCAGATCCAAGTAGAAAAGAACGACAGTGATGTCACCGACAGGCCCGAGAATGAAGAGGATTCTCTTGGAAGTGATGACGACTTCAACCAGAAGGTAAAGACCATTGTTGACGAGCACATCGGTGGTAGCCTCAACGAGTATGCCAGAAAGAAGTTCGTTAAGTCCATTCGGGATCCCATTACCAAAGCCCAGAAAGAAGCCTTGGAGCGATTGAGGAGCGATGTGGTTTCACAGCTGAATGTGGTCAACCAGAATACAAAGGATGCCATTTCGAAGACGCTCAATTTTCGAATGGAATTTGACCACCAAAAGGCTAGAGACATGAGGTTCCAGCAGTTCGTGGTGGAGAAGTTGGGCCAAATGAATGGTACCATTGAGGCCCTTGGTAGGTACCTACTACGACGTCTTGGTAGTGCCGATGGCTTGGATGACAGCAGTCTAGCCAACATTGTTGGCTTCGACAGCTACGACGGTGTTCAAGAAAATGTGTGAAGTGTGAATGGGTGTTCCTACAATCGAAGTCCTTGGAAAAAAGGAGAAGTCGTAGATTTAAGTAAAATTAGTCCCAGTTGGCCTTTGACGTCCTCGCATTTCTATCCTGACTAGTCGTTGCATGTGGATTAATTTCCCTTCTATATGTGTTATGGTACATAAGAAGTCCGTTTGTAGCCAGTAGTGACTTCATCGCCTGCATGCCCTCTCTATATTATGGCACGAAGTCCATTTTGACTCACCCCAACTATAGAAAATCCTGCATTTCTTCTCGTATTCTTCTGTGCTCCACCATTTGTCCCGTCGGAACATTCTTTATGGGTGACCCCTTGCGATGCTGTGGTGGTTCTGGCACTGACATGGCTGCACCCAGAACCAGCAAGACAGCGCTAAGAAGCAATAGTATCATCGACATGGTGGTATAACCAGATAGCTACTGGCACAGACTTGCTGTCTGATGGACTCCTTTGGGGAGTGGAAGTGGTGGCCAACAGGAGCTTGGTCGTCGGATTGATGATTCGATTCGATTGATCATTCAATCGGGTGCCGAAAATAGCTCTTGACAAACACATTACAGTAGGGAGCAGGTTTTAGAGATGGTCACATGGCGTGTCATATCGACGGAAGCCAGCGAGGACTCCCCCACTCAAAACCCCCAAAGTTTTCACTCTTTTACCGGAGGGGGGGACTTCGTGACTCGACTCCAAGAGCTCTTCAAGATCAGGACACTTCGGACCATTCTGGAGAATTCCCCGGTTTCGACCAGCAAAGGCTGCATGGGAAATGGGAGCTGCTGCGCACCGTAAGAATAAGCCGCATGACCTGTCCTTGAGATGGGCTCATAGATCCAATATCAACAATCAACACATCCGTCTTCAAACTTAACAGGCACCTATCTAGCTAGCCAGGCAGCCAGAATGTCGACCAAGGAACCCACTGGCAAAGAGAAAGGAAACGCACCGATAGAGGAAGATTCAGGTGAACCCTCTGCTGATAGAATCAATGATTCGACCATCGAGAGAAGCACTCGGCCTGGTGCAATAGAGGTGCCTAGGCACCTTGAAGATTTGGATGCCAAGTATCTCTCCAAGGTGGGTACCATCCATGAGGATGCCACGGAAAGAAGTATTCAGCCTGGCGCAATCGAGGTGCCTAAGCACCTCGAAGAACTGGATGCTAAGTATCTGTCAAAGGTGGGTACTATCCATGATACTACCACGGAAAGAAGCACACAGCCTGGAGCAGTAGATGTGCCTAAGCACCTGGAAGAATTGGATGCCAGGTATTTGTCAAAGGTGGGTACTATACATGAGGATGCCACGGAAAGAATCAGTCAGCCTGGTGCTGTAGAGGTGCCCCCGCAGCTACAAGAATTAGACGCGAAGTATCTTTCCAAGGTCGGTAGAATTGTTCATAATGACACTGAAGGAAGATTTGAGCCTGGTGCAGTAGGGGTGCCTACACATATCCAAGAATTGGATGCCGAATATCAGTCGAAGATTGTTCACATCGCCAATTTTGCCAATGTTCAGCAAGTTCAACATCTGGATGGCAAAATCCAAGGTGATTCTCCCAACGTTGTGAGCAGTGCCACTCAAATTACTGAATCTGATGCTGCAACTCATGCTTCCAGTAGTTTGGCTACTAGCAGAATTGAGTCCAACGATGACAACCAAACCAACGGCAGCGTAGTCAACTCAAGACCACTAGGAAGCGAAAGCGGAAGTGCATCTCTACCGGCTGCTCAGCTTCGCCGTTCTCGGCCAGTGATGCCGATCACGGAGCCGGGGGCTATAGCCACGCCGCCCATACCAACAAACGACTCTCTGCGCGACACAGTTGAGAACGATGGGGATGGGAGCAATTTATTCGATGATTGGAGGCACGGAGTCGTACCAACACCAACACTTCCAGAACCTGACGGGGAAGATGGATTGGTAGAAGCCACGCCTGTGGGAGACTCGCAGCATTTCCTTGTTCAAGCCAGAGAAGTTGACGCTTCGAAGTTGCAGAGTCAAGGGAGCCAAGACAAACTTCAAAAGCGTTCGCTCTGTTTTCTTGTTGCCGTATCCATGCTTGTGTTGGCTGTTAGCCTCGGTCTTGGAATTGGGTTGACAAAGCGTGACGATGACCAAACACTCATTCCGAGTGTGCCGTCCAAGGCGCCAACGCCTGCCGCAACAGACTATCCTTCCTCTGCTCCTACTACGGTTTTCGATACCCTCTTGGCTGATGTTCCGGACTACACTCTGGATAGTCTCCAGACGTTTGGAACCCCCCAATGGCAGGCGCTTGACTGGCTGTCGAACCACCCAAATATAACCTGGATGGAAGAATGGCGAAAGAAACAGCTGTTTGCTTTGGTGACTTTCTTTTATTCTTTTGATGGACCAAACTGGAGGGATGAAATTCGCAACGATTGGCTTCTCCATGACAAAAGTGAATGCCTCTGGTTTTCCAATACATTTGGAGACTTCGATGGTAACTCGTATTCGTCTTCCTTCTGGGATGAGCCTGAACCATGTGACGAATCCGGACAATTTGTTCTGTTGAGGCTGAGAAATCTCTTCCCATCATCTAACACAGCACACATTCCAAGGGAAATTGATCTCTTAACCCACATGACGGGACTCCATTTGGAAGCTGGTATCATTTCTAATGCAACATTGTCCAGCTGGCTGCCACCACAGTTTTTTCAGCTCACCAACTTACAGTACTTGACCCTCTCTGGAAGCAAACTTGGTGGGACTGTTCCAAGCCAGCTGCAGAACCTGTCAAGTCTAAAAGGGATGTGGCTTCATAGCAATGGGTTATCTGGTACAGTCCCGACATGGCTGTGTAAGATATCCAACCTGGGGGATCTCAACCTAAACGGCAACAGCTTGAATGGCGCCATACCAGGTGATCTGTGGTGCATGTCCGAGCTGTGGAGGCTGGAGTTGACAGACAACTCTCTCTCTGGTTCAATCCCAACTTTGCTTGGATCCTTTTCAAGCTGGAGCTATTCTTTGTCTTTCATAATGACCTCACCGGCCCCATCCCAAGTGAAGTAGGTCTAGCGACCAGCTTGCTTGAGTTCCGTCCATCACAGAATTCTTTGACTGGAACCTTGCCCACTGAGCTGGGGTTATTGGCCAATCTGAAAAATCTGGAGCTCTTTGAAAATGACCTGATTGGAGCACTGCCAACTGAACTTGGCGGATTGACCAATGTGACAAGATTCAGTCTTCAGAGGAACTCAGTCAGTGGGCAGCTTCCAACTGAATTGGGACTCATGACTAGCATGACACACCTCTCACTCTTTTTGCAGAATCTATCAGGAACAATCCCCAGTGAGCTAGGACTCATGAAGGATCTTAATGACTTGCACCTGTGGAACAACTCCATGACAGGAACATTGCCCAGTGAAGTGGTTGCATTGAGGCATTGGAGGGAGTGTGGCTTCCATTACAACCAATTCTCAGGGACAATCCCAACAGAGCTTGGACTGGCGACATCTCTCCGAAGACTTAGAATGATTGCCAACAAATTGTCCGGTCCAGTTCCAAGTGAGATTGGCCTCTTGCATCGTGCCGAAGATCTTTTGCTTATGAACAACTCGCTTTCAGGATTCATCCCCACAGAGATTGGATACATGTTGCAGAGAGACAGTCGCTACATTGATCTCAGCTATAACTCCCTCACTGGTACCATCCCTAGTGAATTGGGCCTGTTCAACAAATCGGATGAATTGGGGCATTTTGAGATCAAGGTCAAGGGAGTCTCGCTGCGGAACAACGCTCTCACGGGCACTATTCCCACTGAGTTAGGAATGATGAAACACCTCGAGGCGCTGTACCTTGGAAATACACTTCTTTCTGGACCCGTTCCGTCCGAGTTGGGTGAGTTGAGTGACCTAGTCATGTTGGAACTGTCCAACTTGCCTCTGTTGACTGGGTCCATTCCAGATGAGGTATTCAACCTGACTTTGAAGGTATTCAGGATTGATGGAAGCAACCAGCTTTCTGGTACAATTGCGGAAGCTTTGTGTGCTATTGAAGGATCTGAGTGTGATTTGAGCTTTGGGATTTTGAGGTATCAGCCCCAGGATCCCCGGGAGTGTTTTGTCAGGTTTGACTGCACAGATGTAGTCTGTGGTTGTGATTGCCTCTGTAGCAATGCTACTTTGTCATTCAATTCAACCGAGAGCTGAGCTAGCTAGATACGGTGCGGTAGGCACGGTTCAAGGTATTCAAAAGGGCCGTCCTTTTTCTCGAGGGTTCCATCGTGGTTTTGTTGATGATATCGAAACACCGTGGCATCCTCGACTGCTTCCGTTGTATGATTGCATAATCTCATATATTTGATCGTTTATGGATACGGTTGTTCTTGTCCAAAACCAGGGCCTGTTCTGCAACCAACAAGTAAGCAAGTTCGACCTGCCCCCAAAGACGAATTGGTCAACAATTTGGCCACCCGCGGCAAAAAATGAGCTCATTCGTGGATCAAATCACAGCCATCCATAATTGCTTCCAATCAACCACAGGAAGCAACAAAGGAGGGAGGGACCTCTGGCTTGTGGCTCTTTGCTCTTTGCTCCTCGACATACTAGCTAGTACCCAATCGAACAAAGCTTTCTTGAGAGGCAACGCAATAGGATGTCGCTATCTGGAATCCCAAAGACTTCTCTGCAGGTATGTACGAAAGAAATCATCAGCTGCCTACCGGTAGTACTTAGTCATTGCCTACCTGATAGTGCATTCTCACCACACCGCTCATATCCCTCTATCTTGTCATTGCATTCCTTTTGACGCCTGCAGCTCTATCGCGACTGCCTTCGGTTAGTCCGGTATGTAGCCCCTGGAGAATCGAAAAAGGCAGTTGCTTTGCGTTCTATTGTACGGAATGAGTTTGCCAAGAATCGCGAGGTTCAAGAAGAACAGCAATTGCAGGCTCTGCGAGCCAATGCCATTCGCGCCTTGTCGAATTATCTTTTGTTCCAAAATGCAAGCTCGGATCCCAAAGTAAAACAAGCCGTGCAATCCTTTCATGATCGACACGTTTCCTCTGCCCGAGAGACACAGAAGAATAAAGAGGACAACAATCCACAACGGTAGCTAGCTAGGCAGGATCACTTTGTGTGGCTGCTTTGATTATATCAGTAATCAACTCTCCTGAGACTGTATGGACATTTCTATGGTGCTATGAGCAACAGCTGCTGAACAAAATCAAAGGAATTGCTAATGCATGTAGTTGGCTTTCAAGAATACGAGTTTGCCTTGGATCGTTTATTTAGTTCCACAGAAGAAATCACAACCAGCTTGACTCTAAGATCCGCACCAGCCAAACCATTCACAAGCTATCTCTTAGCATCTCTTCGACACACCATTGTGGGTATTAATTTAGATGAACCTGTCACCTCAAAGACGTGAAAAAGGAAAGATACAACCAATTGGACAGGGAGGTAAACAATCTGAGAGCGAAATGCGACAACTCCAACAGGTTTCGATGGCGTTTTCGTGAGGTTTCTAGGCACATGCAGTTAGCCTGGGCTAGGGTTCATTTTTTTCGGGAGTGTTTGAGCCGGGGGCGGCAACTGTGGAGAGGTTCACAGCCATCCAGGCCTCCAGTCCCAACTTCCGGAAGGAGGGATTTTTGGCTTCCAAGCCAGTCAAAATCCAAGCCTCCCCGACCTCAAAAATGTCGCTCTTTAGTGTAACTAATAGTAGGTCACGTCGCCATGTCATGATTACTAGTACTGTATTAGAATTGCAACCTGAGTTGCCCGCCATCGTGAAGTTCGGTACGGTGCTTTTCACAATGTATCTAAACCACTGTTGGAGCCCACGGCGTGGAACTTGACTACTCCGCGGCACAAATGAGGATTTCCTCATTTAATGCACAGTGTTAAGAAAACAGGCAATCTAACATCACCTAGAAGCATGAAGATCAGTCAGCCTTTACACCTTGGCATTTTAAGACACACTGCACCAATTATACCCTTACATTTAGAAATAATTGGTACAAAAATGACCCCTCTTAGTAAACACCCAATATGACGCTATCAACTACACTATCTCAACAAAGTAAGACAATGACATTCAAAACAACATTATTGCTGACAACTACCATTCAACAACTAGGTCAATTGGTTGGATATTGACTGAGATCTGGTAACCAGAAGTTGGTGGCTTTTTGATCACAAAGTCATCCTCCAGTCATGCTCCTAGGGACGTTAAGTAGGAATTTCAAATGTGTTTCCCAAGCGTTCCGGAGGTTTTCCCCATTTTTGCTGCTTTCCTCATTTTGGCTGGGGAGTGAATGCAGCAGGATCAAGCAGTGGCTGAGAGGGAGAGCTGAAGCAAGGATACTAGCTAGTAGGACGATACTACATCATCATGGCAGATGAATCCGACGATTCTGATGAGTGGGGGATGGAAGAGCTCAACATTCCTGCCAAGAAGGACAAAGCAGCAGACGATGAAGACGCTGGCAAAGCACAAGGCGACAACGAGGATGACTGGTCGACACCACTACAGAAAGAAGAAACCAAGGAACAGCCTCCAGTCAAGAAGGAAGATGATCGACCCATGATAATAGTCGACATGACCCAAATGACAAAGGAGAAGATTCACAGTAAATTTGACCGTAACTCCGTCAACGACGCCGAGGCAGCGTCAGCACTTCGAAAGAAACTGGAGCAAGATTATGATAGCTACGCCAAAGATGCTGCTTTGCTGGGAGATGGGACCGTCATTCCATGTGGCATGTCGGTGTGGAGAGGGGCATTGACGCGACTGCGAGATGAGCGACCAGGACACTACTTTGCCCCAATATTTCCTCCAAAGAAGTAAGCCAATTCATGATACTATCATACGCCAATATAGATCACAGGATGCCACTAATCAAAACCTGCAATTATAAATTATAAAACTGTAACTAAATTGATGCATCATCTACCAATATGGAAGCGTAAAATTGCATTGTGTGTGTTGTAGTGTAGTGAAGAAAATCGTTCTAAACGGTAGCGCCCATACTGTGAACGCTCTCTCCGAATGGAAGCCGGATCTGGCTAGTTCCTGGGCCATGCCCTCCAGGACTGTTGTGGTGGTTGTGTGATCCAAAGAGGTTCATGCGGGAACCGTGGGATGAATACACGTTGGAACTGCTCGAGGAGCGAGCGTTGGTCGCATTGGAAGAACGGAGGTTTTTGGAGGAAAGCAGCATGGCCATGGACTGCAAAGACTTGTTCAGCAAGTAGTCTGATCTGTCCTCCAGATCAGAGTTGCGTAGCTGAAAGTCTTTCAGGCCCGGTCGGCCATGGTGGTTTTGCTTGCCGCGACCTCGTCGGGCCCTTGTCACAGCCTTGCCATGACCGCGATGGTGCCAGCTCACATTGACTGGATTCTCCAAGACCTTGGCAGAAGAATGTTGTCTGGTACCAAAGAAGAACCTTGGTACGCTCCCGCTGCGGCTCAACAGTTGTCGTCGACCAAACGAAGATGAACTGCTGGACGGCGTTGTCGCGTTTCGTTTGCGGAAGGATGTGCTTGTTTCCGCCGCCGTGGTGTTGGTGGCGTCCATACCGACCGTCGTTTGGATGTCGATTCGCAAATTCGAAATATCGTTCCTCAAAGCTTCGCAAATGTTCTCAAAGGAAGGTCTCTCTTCTCGCTCCGAAGTCCAGCACATGGACATCAAATGCCAGAGGGACTCAGAGACAATCTTGGATCGTAGACGCTTGGGGCGATCTCCTTTGACCATCACCTTTTTGTGATGCGACTTCAAGGTAAGGCCGTCACCAAAGGGTGTACGCAGGTAACACAAGTTCCAAAGAAGCAGTCCAAAGGAGTACGTGTCCGCACTCAATCCATACGGTTCCGAGAAGTAAACTTCCGGTGCCATCCATCTGCGACTTCCGCACATACCCGTGGCATTGTAGTCGTCTGGGAACTTGACCAAGTCCGTTTCCAACAGTTCTTTGGCCAGGCCAAAGTCAAAAATGCGAACATCACCTCGAATATCAAAAGCAATGTTCTGCAGTTTTCAATGGTGAGTTGTTGCTTGCTCTAGCTGGTATTACATTTGGATCCTGGCTCACCATTACTTTAAACCACTCACCTGGGGTTTGAGATCACGAAATACAATCTTGTTTTGGTGCAGATACCGGAGTGCCCGGGCGACATCATAGGCGGCATACAGCCGATGTAGCAACTGTCCCTTGCGGATCACCAGATCCACGTTGGACTTGCTGTCATATGCCTTGTTTCGAGGTCGTCTTGCATTGGCACCATCACCTTCGCTAACTCGCTTTTTGGGGAAGGATTTGGGAAAGTGCAACTTGGGTAGCTTCATGGCCGCGCCTCCAAAATCCATGAGTTGTCGCATTCGGTTGGGTGAGGGCTGTTCCTCCCGCCAGTCGTCGATTTTATCATCCAAAGTAATGTACAGGCGGTCCAGAACGAGCATATACTCGGGGCTTCCGGGCGTTCCTGCCGTCCCTCGCAACTTGCAAATGTTGGGATGAGACAAGCTGGCCAAGAGCGTAGCTTCCATGGCCAAGTCCATGGCCCCAATGGTACCAAGCTGATAGTCTCCGCTCGCTTCCTCAAACAGAACCTTTTGCAATAGTTCCTTGCGCAGTTGCTTGACCGCATAACGTGCCTTTCCGTCACGCCAACATCTCTTTTTCAAAACTCTCCGAGCCCGTTGAACCGCCTCGACATCTGGAACCAATTCAATGGATGCGTTATCATCACTATCATTCTTTCCTTTGGCGTCATCTTGCTCGTCGTCACCACTGTTATTATTGTTGTCGTGATCAAAAGCGGCTACTTCTTCGTAAAAGTATCCCGAGGCATCGCCCACCGACAGCAGCGGCGCGGACATGTTTCCTGATTTGGGGTTGTGCCCTCGTCGACCAGTAGTAATATGGCTCGATTCGTTCAAAAAGGCCCCCGAGTCCAGGGATGCTTTCATCAGTCTGGGAAGGCTGTCACGGCCTGCCTTGTTCGTGATCTCTTGAACCTCACGGACAGAGCCAAATTCTCCTTGACCCAGCAAGTTACCCAAAGTGATTTCTGGTGGGAGACACAGGAATAAGCAGAAGATATTAGTAAAGAGCTGGCTAGATCAGGATACTGCATAAACCCAAAGTGGGTTGATCCTCGCATCAAACGTACCATTTGTATCAAACACTGGAAGTGCCTTGGCCGGGTTGGCCCGAAAGAAGGGGGATCCAGCCGTCCTGGCATGGACGTAGTGAGCGACACTTTCCACTACGGCGTTATTCACCTGGGGCGCGGCGGCAGCAAAGACTTGAGCCACTACGGCTGCAGCATCCTGGCAGACTTCGTCGTCGCTAATATCGGTGGGAAACTGTAAGGCACTCGAGGGGCTCAGCGCTCGTTCGGCAACAACTGCCCCCTTTTCTGGTTCCTCCGTCGATAACGGTGGGCTTGATGACGAAGCCGCATCGCTGCTACCCTCCGTCACCTCGGGAGATTCACTCACTCGGGGTAGCATGGTGTTGGAATCTGGCAGCATGGATCTCCTTGAGGATGGTTGTGGTGGCTCTTGGGGTGGAGATTCTGCGAGAGCTGTCATGGTCAATTCCTTCTCATAATAGTCTAGTGTTGGCGGTGAATGAACTTGTGTGGGAACACCCTCTTTCATGCCATCCAGGACAGCCGTGTGCTCAAGCTCTATCGATAGTCACCCAGTGGTACAAGTGTATGATACCGGTGGTCGGACTTGTACCGGTACTTGGGAGGAAGCGGGTGTGTGAAGCTCAAGGGGCAATCTAGCTCTAGCTAGCAATCGGGTAGCCAACAACAACTTTTAAAACTCGACAACCACTGCGGAATGCTCAGCAACATCGTCAGGCCAAAAGCAACCAGGAACTGCCGAGTTATCGTTAACAACGAAGCAGGAAGTTTGGTCGTTTTGTAAGCTTGGACAGTGAAAAGGCTATGACATACGCTGTGAAGAAGTGGGAGCGGGCTCGGCTGTTTTACTGTACGACTGTACGCATCAGTTACCCCAATGTCCAAACAACTTATAATACTTGAAGGAATCGTACAATTGTACAATTAGCAAGCCGAGTAAATCCTCATTATTCTCTTCTTATTCTTTGATGTACCGGTACGTGTGTAATAAATCCTCCTTTGTTCTTATTCTTTGATTTCCTTCACGCTTCACGCGACAAATACCTTCTGAAGATTTATTGAGACACACTGCACAGGGACCAAACACTTATGTAGGCACACCAGTCACCGTAGATTTAAAGATCTTTCTTAAAGCGGGGCTACGGTCGCTACGGTACTGAGCTGCTATTAAGCTATTAATACTGTATTCTGTATTCTTAGAATTGGTAAAACGTTTTGGCAAGGACTCTAAGTTTCTGTACTTTCAAAGGTTCAAAGCTTTGGCTACAGGAGAACTGTCTCTGGTAGATCAAGTAAGTAGACAAGCCTTAGGCCTCGAAACAGCTGCTTGGTCAATCAGCCTCCGATGTTCCAAGTATTTACGGTGGCGGTGCAGGTACATGTGTGGTACGTGGGTACCGGTACGTGGTACAGGTGTACGACTAGCACAGTGGCACATTAATTTCGGTCAAACGAGAAACGATCACAAAATATTTGACAATGGCTGTCAAAGCATTACTGTAGCTCTTGGCTCTTGGTGAGATGTGGCTAACCTCATTCGGCTCGTACCAGGTAGCTGCAATGCAAGAGTACTGTACTCTAGAGTATTCTAGACAGAGGAGAAGCTCCGCTGCGGCGAGGAATACATTATTGAGCCGGAAAGTGGAGGGTATTCGCACCTCTAGTTACATTTAGCATTTTGCCGCAAGTTGGAAATTAACGGATGTTCTCAAACACTCGTAGCACCTCAGACGGTACCGGTATCGAAATGGTGCCAGGGGGACTTGTGAGGTGCGGGCAACCAAGGCTTTCTTGCTTGATCAGGTGCTCGTGCACTTCAAAAACTCCCAGAATGCGCAGTGCTGTGCAACCAGTAGAACCAATTTTGTTCTGCAGTTGTACCAGTGTTCTCGGGTCTTTGCTACTGTTGCCATCTACTCCGTGATGGTACGAAAACGGTATGGTACGGCAGGGGCCTTTGTAATAACACAGCAAGGCTGTAATGTCTTTGTACCGTTCTTACCCCGTGGGAATAGATACCGTCGGAATAACGGCCGCTAAGGCCGAAATTTAGCTTTCGAACGCTCAAGTTCATCTCGCATCACCGTCCTGAGCAACATTCACATCTTTGTCTTCCAGCAATGTACCATGGCGACGGCTCTAAAAGAGCGACGAACCAATATCCATGATACGGCGGTTGCTGTCCATCGAAAGCCGACAGTAGTACACAGCGCTTCGGTTCCTCTTCAAGCCAGCGGTGGCAGCGGTGTGCAGCAGCGAAGAAAACGGGCGGGATACAAAAAATGGGTAAAGACTCTCGTGGTTTGTGGCATGGCTGGTTTGGTCATGATGCGCTTTTCATCTTCAATGATGCCTACAATAAGACCTGAAAGATTGCTGAAAGCGGTTGATGAAGCAGGAAGGATTGGAGAGGCTGGGGTCCAGGAGGATGCATCTGACGACATGCTGATATCCTACGTGGAAGCAATGGCAGAAGACAAGGAATCGTCGACGCCTCCTACATTGAGTACATTTGCGAAAGAGAATGATAAAAGGGTAACAAGATTTACAAAGACAACCAAGGCACAACCAAGGTCCTCCAAGTATGCTAAAAAGTCTATGAGGCCGCGCATTCGAACGAACACTAGGGCCGCGTCACGATCAAGAACCATTCGTGGCAAAAGGCCATCTGAAGATGAGCGGCGACTTCAGAATGAAGAGAGGGGGGTAGAGTCTAACAGAAGAGGATTGAATGTGTTCGAGGGACAAGTTGAACCGTACAAGGGTGGGATGAGCGGGATGGGGGGTGGAGGTGGAATGGGGGGTGTTGATGACGAGAAGATTGTAGAGATTATCGACACGGCCTTCTTGATTGGGAATACAATTTGGAGAAACGTTCAAACATATGCACCACAATGTCTGCCTCAATCAACGCCTTCGCCAACAACGGGGCCAACCCTACCCCCAACACCAGCGCCAACAGCTAGTCCCAGTGTTTCCCCCTCGGTGTCTCCATCACGCTCGCCCAGTCGTTCTCCTTCACTCTCACCTTCGTTGTCCAAAATACCGTCTTTCACACCAAGTTCAATCCCCTCGGCCAGGCCAAGTTCCAGTAATGTGCCTTCGTCGTCTCCGAGTAGGAGTCCAAGTCGCTCGCCATCGAGCAGTCCAAGTACAGGCCCAACAACAGCGGCGAGTAATTCACCATCAAATATCCCATCAAGCAATCCAAGCAAGAACCCATCCAGCTTTCCCAGCATTGTTCCCTCAACCCTCCCATCGAAGATTCCAAGTAGCAATCCGTCAACATTCCCCAGCCTGTATCCATCTTCTGTCCCATCAACAATTCCCAGCGGGACCCCATCAACTATTCCATCGAGCATTCCCAGTAAAAACCCATCATCCATTCCGTCAAGCGTTCCTAGTAGCGTACCCAGTTTGGTTCCATCAAGCATTCCAAGCTCTATCCCCTCCACTGGTTCAAGCGCACCAAGTATGGTTCCATCAAGCATTCCAAGCTCTAACCCCTCAACTATTCCAAGTAGAATACCGAGTTCGGTTCCATCAAGCATTCCAAGCTCTAACCCCTCGAGGGTTCCTAGTAGCGTACCCAGTTCGATTCCATCACGCATTCCAAGCTCTAACCCCTCAAGGGTTCCTAGTATCGTACCCAGTTCGATTCCATCAAGCATTCCAAGCTCTAACCCCTCGAGGGTTCCTAGTAGCATACCGAGTTCGGTTCCATCAACCATTCCAAGCTCTATCCCCTCCACTGTTCCAAGCAGCGTACCAAGTTCGGTTCCATCAAGCATTCCAAGCTTTAACCCCTCGAGGGTTCCTAGTAGTGTACCGAGTTCGGTTCCATCAACCATTCCAAGCTCTATCCCCTCCACTGTTCCATCCAGTGTACCGAGTAAGGTACCATCAAGTGTTCCAAGCTCTATCCCCTCGAGGGTTCCTAGTAGTGTACCGAGTTCGGTTCCATCAACCATTCCAAGCTCTATCCCCTCCACTGTTCCATCCAGTGACCGAGTAAGGTACCATCAAGTGTTCCAAGCTCTATCCCCTCGACCGTTCCAAGTAGCGTACCGAGTAGCGTGCCAAGTATGGGTCCTTCCGCTGTAATAGTACCGGTAGGGGGGCGTAATGCCATCCTTTTTGATAGAGCCCAAGCGAACGGTTTGGATTTGTTCAAAAATGCTCAAACAGATAAGCCTACCACTCTTCTCGGTGATCCTACCACTATGGAACCATCTACAGGTGAACCAACTATGGAACCAACCACTACATCCACAACCGAACCAACTAGTGAGGCGACTACGAGCATGGAGACCAATGAACCAACCACGACACCGACAACTACACCAACTCCTGAACCGTCTTCACCGAGACCCGTAGAGGCAATGACACGACAGGGAACTTTTGATGGAAGCTTTGGCAACCACAGGCCCATCAAATCAATGACTCAGACACGACATGGAACTTTTGGGGGCAGGTTCGGCAACAATATGCCCCTTAACTCTAGGGAGGAAAGAGAGCAGAACATTATAATGGTTGAAAGGAGTCAAGATGAAGAAGAAGAGGAGGAGGAAGAAGACGATGTCGAAGACGACACTGAGGAGACATCCTTGAAGTCACATCATTTCCTTGATAATGGAGAGGACTTTGCTGATCTTTGGGGCTCTGGAGATGGTTGATTTGCTCAAATACGGGTGCAAAAGGCAATAAGGTCCAAGAGTAGCTGAAACTGTGAATGTGACTGCAGAACAATCGTCCATCCCCAGCTTCCACTACCTTAATTGACTGCATTGTGACTCAGGCTATACAGGTTGTCATAAAGGGGGGGTAAACAAGAACTATGAAGCTCCACCGTCGCAGCGGAGGATGTGGTGTTGAGCAGTTTTAAAGATAGACGTAAACCCGTAGATAGAGGAAACTATTGGCATAACTTGCTCGCACTGTTAGCTGGCTTCATACGGTACATAGGCGTACGGCAGAAATCCCCACTATGAGGTACAGTAGTACCTTGATGCACTAAGCTAGCTAGTCGGATGCTGCCATGCAATGCCACTGCGGTTTTACAGTCGTACAAATGTTGAGTGAGCCTGAGCTGTTGAGTGCGGTTTTGCTGTGACCGCAGTGCCTCCACCGTCATTGGCACCGTGGAAAAGGCTGGTTCGAAGCGTGGAAAGTGTGCCCTCGCTGATGCGATAAATTTAGCCTCGCTCGTTAGACCAGCTTGCGTCCAACCGCCAAGGCTGGAGCACCCCTCGGTTTAGCTCTCGACACAATGATCCGCCGCTGTTGATATCCATTGCCGTCATATCGTATCGTTTGGAAAGAGTCAGAGGAGAGATCATCGTCATCAAGAGCATCCAGTTCATAGTATCTATCACAAGAAGTAGTCAACAAAGCACAAGATGATTTTCCGCCAAAAGCTCCAATTTATGCTACTGATCTTCTTTTCATTCGTGGCATTTGCATCTTATCATGAAGGCAGCACCGTGTGGCTCCAGTACTTGATGCTGTTGACCATGCTGATGTTCACGCTTGTCTTTGATTTGGCCTTTATGAACGAGTCCATGTTCATCTTTGATCCAGATGCCGAGAACTGGCGAAGAAAGACAGAGGCTTTGTCAAGCTAATTAATTGGAAGATTTGATTCGTCAATTCGCTGGTTGGAGAAGGGTGATGGAGGAGGAGGACGTTGGAGGTCTAATGGAAACGAATGGAAAGAGAGAATCTCGTCGCAATATGGAGAGGAGGGTCCATGTTACTGAACAGCGTGGAGGATGTTTGGCGGAGCCTGAGGGGGCAAAGAGTCCGTGATCATTGTCGCGGAAGAGAAACCTAACTGCTACGAAAGCTTATGCAACAATTTGCTGCCTCTTTCAAGCATCTGAGGGATGGTCTTTCTGCAGAGGTCTATCTAGTTCCAGCAGTAATAGTGTCATGATTTTATTCGCATCTGAGTTTTCTGTACAATCTGCTTTCGTCTCAAAAAAACTAGAAGTCCAAGTTAGTGTGATACCACAAGCACACGGCCTAGCTAGCTACCAATGTCTGGAGCATTTCCGTGGTAGAATTTGGAGGCCACGGAGTTGTCGTTTATCCAATGCCACCAAGTGGCCAGCTCTGCAGCTGCGGGTTGATCGATTTCTCTTTTTCTAGCAACCTGGTACCGTTAGGCTAGCATTCATGATCAGCCAGTGAAGTGCGCAACACGCCTTAGTGTTAATGGATTGCTATGAGAGGCGGAGGCCCTACTAAACTCATGCTTTTGTCGCTCATAAGTATGGCCATACCTACAGCGTCATCCTGCAACAAGAGTTGTTGGCCAAATCATTGTAGATCATAATTTGCCTGCCGGCAGTGTCTTTTCCCACTCTTCAACGCCAAATGATGCTTCAACAGATTCAACAGGGCCGGTACGGTACGAATGCGTGTGAGTTGTGTAGTCATGGTCTGTTCTGCTCTACCGTACCGTACGGTCGCTAGCTAGTAGAGGACTGTAGCTAGCTAGAACACCTGCAGTTCTTGGATTTCTAGAAGGGGTTGAATGGACATTGTGGCCACTGGGAGCCACCTGCGGATTTCCAAGGCTGAGAGAGTCTTTGCCGTCTCCTTATCCTTGTCTACTCGAGCGGCTATTGCAGCGGATTGTCGCATTCTTTTTCAGGGAATTACATGGCCACAGATGAGCGATACATGAGCAACAGGAGTAGTGGATACAAGTCCCTCTCAATGCGGTCTTTTCATTTTCATTTCACAGGCTACCATTTCCAGAAGCAAAATCAACGCAAGCATAGCATAGCATCCATACCATCACTGAACCTCACGCTGCGCTTGTTGCAAATCTTCTGCCGGTGCCAGACTCAAATAGGCATCCAATGCTTGCAATAGTCGCTTGAGAGGCGGCAACAAGTCCTCCCAGCTATCATCTGCCACCACGGTCCTCAAAGCACTTCCCTCCTTTTTGGCAGTCTTGCCGGCAAACTCCCACTCTACCAAAAAGTCGTCCCACGCCACCCACGCATCATTGCGAGCCCCATACTGCAAGGTTTGCTTGACTGGCAAATCGTCTTCGATCTGTGGACGACCAGGACCGTCAAATCCTTTAGTATAGTAGACCAAAAAGGCATTTTGATCGACAAATTTCTGCTTGTACGAAACAGGATCCGAATAGGCATCCAAGAGCTGCTTAAAGGTGGTTTCTTCCCGAGGGACAATGGATGTACTGGGAAGTGCCAGGCTACTAGTAGAGGCATCCTTGTTGTTGCTGTTGAGTAGTTGCTGTTGTAGTATTCCCAAGGATTGTCGCATCCTGACAATGGGGGTCAGCGTTGCCACGGTCCCAGTATTGGTAGCATCGGTTCCGGTGGTCAAGGGAAGATTACGAGCATGACTTGTAGATGGTGTAGTAGCCAGCAGCAGCCAAGATCCAGCTCCTATCCAAGCATGTCTCAATGCTTGTCTCCTTGTAGCAATGGTTGTTTCGCGAGAGCTTTCCTGCGCTATCGAGCATTCTGGATCAGTTTCTCGAGATTCTGATACAGCATGTTGGACACTACTCCAATCGACAAATACTGTGTTGCGACGCAGAAATCTGCTGCTAGTAACAACAATCAGCGGAAAACCTGACGTGAAGGCTCCAGAATAAAGAATCAACGTGATCCAATGGAGGATGTGATTCTTCGACCTTATTAGTGTTGACGGCATCCTCTTTGATGTTTGGTTGGTACATGTACAGTAGCGAAAATGACCTGTGGTAGCGATTTATGACTATCCAGTTACCAGATTACTAAAATCAACCACAACAACCAAGTAGTAACACACACAACACTATAGCCAACCTCTTTATCAACACCACCATCATCAGCCTTTTTCGGCTTATCAGGCGTGGAAGCTACTAGAGAAGACAAGCGAATCGGTGTGCGACGACACAGAAGAAGAAGAGCCGTTCGTTCGTTCGAGCGCCATTGTCGCGATCGGCCGTTCGACAAGCACAAGAAGAAGAGCTACGTTCGTTCGTTCGTTCCGTTCGAACACCATTGTCGAAGAAGATACCGTTCGAAGCAACTGCTACCAAGCTATCAAGCTATCGTTCGAACGACGACGAGAAGAAGACGACGCGACGCTACTGTAGCGCCATTGTCGTGATCAGAAGATAGAGAAGAAGAAGAAGGAGTTTGCTAACTCGACGAAAAGATACCTTTCGTTCGTTCACTCGA